TAAAGTACCTACAGTGTCCTTTCAAGGGAAAGATATCTATGGCAGAATAAGCCTCTTTAACAAGATAAGGATTTTTAGTCTTCACAGCTTTGAATGACCAAAGGTCATTCCAGGCTGCTGAAAGACTAACTAGGAGTTTTAGCAGGCAAACACAAAGACATGGTAATCGGTTTATCTGTATAACACGCTTATTTGCATTTCCAAATTCTGTAAAATTCACCTTGCTGTTTATAGAAATTACTTTTCAACTCCAATACATAGACAAAGGATTTTTGCCATTATCTATTTGGATGATTGGATGTCCCTAGTGGTAAACCTCTGACTCTTATTTAGAAATTATACAGTGACATATTAACACATTTTAAATGGGTCCAATGGCAGATCCAAGCTGAAAACTCCTGAGCATCTGTCTCTCTGAGCTATGGGATAACTGCAACTTGCATCTAGGTACATAATTTTTGTATAGCAGCATTATTCTTGTTGCTGGTCAGCCATAGCTACCCACAGAGTAAAAAATGACATGCTAGAAATATGGTTTATTAAACTTTACTGCACTTCATTACTCTATCCACGAAGGAGTGTGGAGCTAGTGGTGGCAGCAGGCTGTTAGATATGCATTGAATAACACACGGCAAACAGCATCCACTAATTGCCTTCTCTGTTTCTCCATGAATTCAGAATGTGAATGGAGGAGGAGGAACAGAGCAGTGCAGATCGAGCAGGCTTTACCTCTTAAGGACACATGACACATGTGAAATGTCATGATTCCCTTTATTCCAGAAGTTTGGTCCTTAAGGTGGTTAAAAGCTGACAAATTTCAAGAAGTACAATAAGATACAAGGTCCGAAAGAGAGAGTGGAAATCAGGAGTGAAAAAGGGATATAAGAATACAATTTAATTTAGGTAGAACTAAAAACTGGGGTTTGGAGGAAATGGTGCTAAAAATTTAAAAGCGGCTGAGAGGGATGTTGAGAAGTGGAAGAATGTTTTGGTTTGGGTTCTTAGAAGCATGAGGAAACGTCTGTGAATTGAAGGGTGCTTGTGAATTAGATTCCATTCTAAGGGCATGAAAGATTGACACAGTCCCTGATGACTTGAGGTGTTCACCTCACAAAACATATATGATGAGGTGGAACAGTTTCTGACAGTGGGTGGAAACTACAGAAATATCAATGATACATAATCACGATGCCACCAGGCCCAACACGCAGACCATAGATCATGCCTAGCTAATTTTGGTAAATAGAAATGGAGAGAGACGTTTTATAGATCTTTAGAGTTGACATAATAGTCAAAAAATAAACAGTAACCTAAGTAACAGGCCAAAGTGAAGTTGTAGAACAAGCAATGTGCAGGACAACATAAGGTTGCAAGAACAAATAATCAAGCGAGGGTCATGGATAATTGAATGGAGACTGGTCAAGGAAAAGCAAAAGTCAGGAATTACTGATAAATATAAACCGTTCTTGAATCACCAAAAGGGAAACCACAACAGGGCAAAGCAGAGAGTGCAAAGAGGGCTTACGTTGGTGTTGGTATTCATTAATCAGCTTGTATCAGTTATGTGACATCAAATGGCATGAGAGCGTTGTTGCAGAAATGATGCAGGTAAAAGTGTTTTGGAAAGGAGCCGAGTGGTTTGAGCATTATAATTCAACACAAGTTTGGATCAGCATCCAAAATTAGCAAGAACACATTTATATCGATACTCCAAACATTTGTACTGGTGTTGTGGTCTGCTACATGCTGATTATATAATGCTTGTAGATTGCACCTCTTTTATTTATTTATAAAATATTTTACCAGGAAAGATACATTGAGATTTCTCTCGTTTTCAAGTATGTCCTGGGTCCACAAAACATTGCATTGTTACATTAGGGTACAATAAAATGCAACAACAATATTAATACACAATAAATACAAAATTTAACAAGGAACAGGTAGGAAATATATAATCAACCATGACAGGTGCATTCTGTTTTGAGGTATGTAGAGAGGGATCTCTTAAATGACTTTAGGCTTAGGGAAGATTTTAAATTGTGCGGGAGGTCGTTCCACAATTGCGGTGCTCTGTAGGAGAAGGAGGATCGGGCTGCTTTCTTTTTGTATTGAGGTAGACTAAGTAAAGTGTTGGTACTGGATCGGAGGTTATAGGAAGTGGGAACAGCCGTGGAAAGCATTTTGTTCAGGTAGGGTGGGAGTTTCCCAGAAAAGCTCTTAAACACAAGGCTGGGAAGATAAAGGGTGTGTTTGGATTCCAGAGACAGCCAGTTTAGTTATTTCAGCATGTCACAATGGTGAGTCCTGTAATTACATTGTAGCACAAATCGCCAGAACGAGTTATACAATGTGTTGAGTTTATTAATGTGGGATTGCGATGCAGATGCATATACTACATCCCCATAATCAATGATTGGCATCAGCATTTGCTGTTAAATCTTTTCCTTTACTGTAGGGCATAGGCAGGATTTGTTTCTGTACAGGGCACCTAGTTTTGGATAACGTTTAGATGCAAGCTTTTCTACTGTGATCACTGAAACTGTTTGGGAGAACACTGGCCTCCTGGATTCTATTAGGAGAAGTGGAGAGAATCCAATCGAGCAGGGTATGGTTATGGCTCTTAATGTTTATGCGAGTCAGGGAGGAGATTAATTGCGTCAGCTGCAAAGTCTTAAGCAAGAACTATTATTTTTAGGATTCAGCCAATCAATATTAAAATCGCCAAAGACCAACAGTTCACTTTTTGGGTTTCATGGTTTCACTAAGGAGATGGGCTATGTCAGATAGGGAATGCACTGGGGAGCAAGGTGGGAGGTAGATTCCTGCAACAATGATTGATTTACTGCACGGGATCTCAATTGTGCCAGAAAGGAAATCAAAGGTGGCAGAAGGGCTAAAGTTTTGTAAGGGGGTAAACTTTATGGAATTGTCAACATAAATAACAATGCCTCCTCCTCTCTTTGCTCTGTCATATCTAAAACATGAATAACCCCGTATTGCAATAGCGGTGTCTGGTATTTTAGTTGTTAACTATGATTCTGAGAGTACAATGATTTTTGGTTTGTAATGGGAACACCAGGCTTGCAGTGCATCCAGTTTAGGGAGTAAGCTACGGATGTTACAGTGCACAAAAGAGAGGCATTTTTTAGTGGGGAGACTAGGACTAGAATTAGCTGGGGGACCATCATTTGCATGGGCAAGTAACATAAGGAATAGGAATTTGGGCATCATTTTTGTTTGGCCATATAGTGAATGGGATACTTTATAATTTTGTAAGGTGGGGGTAGGAGGGTTATTTTTTCTAACTCACCAGCACTCAGCAGATAAGTTACAGGAACAGAGCATGCCATGGTGTATGATAATTTGTGTACCAATTTGAGGTGTGTGCTTATGCTTGTAGTGGTGTGAACAAAATTGGATTGAGAAAAGGGTTATTAAGAATAACAGTATGGTTATATTTGGATTCATGTTAGTGGTATGAGGTGTGTAGTTCAGAATGAAACAGAAATCGTGAAAAACTAAAATTAAATAAAACTATATAATATTGGTGTGTGATATATCTATTTGTGAAGAGAGAGGGTATGTGTTCTATAGGGTTAAGATATTGGAAGGGTGTGCTGATCAGTGTTTGCACCTGTCATTTCAGGAGATTGAAATTTGTGTGGGAGACTATCTATAAATGAGGAAATGAGCATGGGGTGAGGGGGCGAGGGGGCAATTGGGTGAGTGGGAGGGCAATCAGTCTTCCAGAAGGCTACCTGTTGCAAATGGCCGTGGAACAACGGGATTTGGACTGTGTATGTTTAAAATGGGCTAAGAGATGGGGGGGATGCACAGATGGACATTTGATTCAAGGTAATTTAAGGAAAAACAAAGGGCAAGGTTGAGAATTACAGAGATAAGGCAGAGGTATTTAAGTAGGGAAATAAAACCATTAAACAAAGAACAAGAAAAATATATGGGCCTGAGCTGGTTAAACTAACTTTTAACATAATGTGCAAAGACAAATGTGATAAAATACTTTGCATGATTAGCACAGGCTGTAGTTACAAAGACATGAAAATATAAACATTGAAAATAATAGAATTAAATAATAGTCACTAAATATAAAAAACACACAGACAACAAAATTAACAGGGTATTTAGAAATAAAATGAAATGTCAGTCTTCCAGAAGGCTGCCTGTTGCAAATGGCCGTGGAACAGCTGATTGAGCTCTGGGATTCTTTGCTGGACTGGGTATGTTTAAAAATCAGACTGTTGCAAATGGCTGTGTGTGGCAAAACCAACCTCGCCACTGGGCATTGGAGAAGCTTGTTTGCCCACCTCCTGCCTGCTGACTATTGCCCCTGGGAGATTTGGCCCTTTAAATACAGTATTTGGGCATATTGTATTTTATTATGCTGCTGCTGGCCCTTTAAGAACCATCTGGGGACATACTGTGACTTTTGGGAACAATGCCCCTTTAAGACTATGGTCCCTGGAAGATATTGCCTGTTAAAGACTATTTTAGCAGATTGGATTTTAAAAGACTTGCTGCCCCTTTAAATTGTATTGGAGCAGTTCTGCAGCTTTAAAGTGCCGAAGTAGTCGAAGTGGCCGCCATTCGACAAACGAACACGTGGCGGCGGTCATCTTTGTTCATTCGAACGAGGTCAGCGGTATGTGTAGCCAAATCCATGGAACTGAAATCGGCTACACATTTCAACGAACACCGCTGACCCTTACTTTCTCCTACACTCAGTTTCCAGCTGCAGAGACTAAGTCCCGTTCGGCAGTTTGAACTCACTGCTATACTAAGCTAAATGCACGAAATGCCCCATTCGTGCATTCGAATGGGACTTAGTCATTTTTCTGTGTAAAATAGACCGACCGCACAGCCCAAATCTATGGAACTGTTTTGGGCACGAACATGTGCTTGCGGTCGGTCATAAAGGACTCCCAGCTAGAGTGTTTATGTTTAAAGTGTGCTGATTCTGAATATGTAATTTCTATGAAGATTGGACGTATATTTTTAAAGTTATAGCACATGTATAAAAAATTTATTTTTCCTGCTTGTGATAATTATGTTAACCATTGTGTACCATAATTATATCACAGGCAGAGGGGAGGATTTTGTGTATAATTGCTGGGACTGTTTTCTGTAATGTATGTGTATTATTGGTTGTTCTGTAAAACCCTGTGGGCAGTACTAAGTTTGTGGATTGGGAATAAAAGAAGCTGTATGTGCCAGTACAGTCAGTTCTGCTTGACCTCAAAACAAAGTGTCGTCTCATTATTGGGGGAATTGGATTGTATGCTGATTGCCAGGAGTGTAAGCTGATTGTTTGCTTTTCCTGTTCAGCTGTTTACAGCATTCCTATGCTTGAGAGCATTTGTATGCTTCTCCGATTCGGTGGTTGTGGTGTCTGCTGCAGTGCTTGGAGTCCTCAGGAAGCGCTAGGAGCATCCTTCAACGGAGGTAACCAGTCGGAGTGCCAGGTGATCCGTTACACCGTGGAACAGTTGATTGAGCTCTGGGATTCTTTGCTGAACTGGGTATGTTTAAAAATGAGACTGTTGCAAATGGCCGTGGAACAGCTGATTGAGCTCTGGGATTCTTTGCTGGACTGGGTATGTTTAAAAATCAGACTGTTGCAAATGGCCGTGGAACAGCTGAGTGAGCTCTGGGATTCTTTGCTGGACTGGGTACGTTTTGTGAGTATGCTTATTTATTTATTTTTGTTTTGTGTCAATCTGTGATTTTATTGTGCATGTAAGATTGTACATAACAATTTTAGCTCATCAAAATTAACCACATTTTAGTAAAGACATGTAATGATAACAGGATAGGCTTACTTGTCTAAACAGATTGGAAAATCCAAGTTTCAGAAAAGAAGAGCATTAGAAAGGCACAAATATAGGCAGACATGCAAGGTAAACTAGAAAAAAAGAATGTGAAAAACATAAGAATGGTACCACTGGGTGCAAGCGATAGGAGAGTAGTGAGGGGAATCCCAGTCCATACCCATAGACCCCTAGCTTTAACATTGCAACAATAATACTATGCAGTAAGCCAGTAAGATGAGCATAGCAACTGAGTGTTTGCCGTTTGTCCACAGGGTTGCTTTGCCTATGCCAGTAAATGGGAGACTGTCAATACAAAGTAAAGTCAGTTCACTGAACTGTAGGGGGCACCCCACCAGCTCCAGACAAGAATGTGCACCCACACCGCTCCCCCAGGGTACTCACCAAGGTCAGCCTCTGGAACTGGACCTATGGATAGACTCATTACATGCTTTAAGCACAGCTGAGCAGATTCCCTCTCGTTTCTGCTCCCCACGGGAGGACATGATGGTAAGACTTGGTAGAAGGCAGACCACAAGGTTGCATCTGCTTTGGCCTCCATTTTTGCCATCTTACCACCCTTTCCTTGTAGAAGAGGTGTCAGCAAGATCTCGCTGAATCCCGGCTGCCAAGACCTTAAGTCTGGGCTGTGACGCCCGGCTTGTCAGGTAACTTAGTCGCAGCACAGGTAGCTAGTTTTTCCAAGAATTTGGCGCATATGTTGTTGAATGGGGCCTTTCAAAAAAGGTGTGTATATGTAATGACAGATCGTGTGACACTAGTTATGTGACTTCTGAAGGTAATTGGTTGCACCACAGCTTTTTATGGGCTTCATAACAAAGGGGGTGAATACATACGCACATGCCAATTTTCTGTTTTCTATTTCTAAAAAAATAGTTTTGTGTATATATTTTTCTCATTTCACTTCACCAACTTAGACTATTGTGTTCTGATCCATCACATAACATTCAGATTAATAAAACATTGAACTCGAGGCTGTAATGTAACAAAATAGGTAAAAAGTCAAGGGGGGAGAATACTTTTGCAAGGCACTGTATTAATCAGCCAAATAATCTTGCTCTTCTCTTCCCTAAGCAGGCCAGTTACCTCCTTAAACCTTCCTTATCCCAGCCCACCACAAGCTCAGACCTTGAATCCTTAAGCCTTCTAAGTTTTGCCACTCCGAAGAAACAAAGCCTTGGCCAGCCCTTCCCGTAGCCCCAAATTAAACAAATCGCATCCCACATATGAGAGATGCACCCCATCCTTTCTGAAAAAGTCAAGAAGCATGACCTCCAGTTCCCTATGCCTGACTCCACCCCGCCTAACTTCCATATAAAGCTAGCCATCCACCCGTTAACCTTCCCTTGGCAGCGCCCGACAGCTTCCGAATCCTGTGCATGCCGCCAACGGAGCCAGGAAACTATCTCCGACCACACCAACTGAACCCCCGGGACCCAGGTCCTAATCCTATTCACATCCTGCTTCATTCTCTTAACTAATAGTCATTGGGGGATAAGCCCAAGGTCGTTATTGCCGGCATGCAGCACTAGCACATCCAGCCGTTTACCCCCAGCTACTATACTAAGGACCTCACTACATACGTCCCGCCAGCCATAACCCCTGTAACCAAACCATTGTAACTTAATCTGGTACTTGGGAAAACACAGCTGCTGACCCCGGAAACGAACTGCAGCTCTCCTCTTGGCCTAGAAAATAAAGTAATGGCCCACAATCCAAGCCACTTGACCTAGGGAAGCAAAATAAAATTGTCAATCACTGCTCCCACCAAAGCAAACCCTCTAAAGCTACTGCTCACACTAGCTTCTCCAATTGAACGTAGGACCGGAACCTCACCGATTCCCACCGTCCAATCTTCTTGACCAGCTCATCCCCCAAGCCTAACCGAGTCACCTCAGTGGCTGCCCCTCTATGGAATAAGTGCATCCTGAACTAAGTCGCCCACAATCCCAACCTGCCAATCCCACCCCGAAAGACCCGGACGAATTGGAAACGGGAAAGCGAGGAACCATCTTCGTGCATCAGAAATAAACCCGGCCATAGTGGGTGCCATCCCAAATATTGAGCAACACTAGCCACCGGGCATAAGGGAGACCCTGGGAAAGCATACAGCACGACATCTGTACCTCGACCCCGAATATCCATTTTGGACTGGTGGAGATGTACCACAACCCAATCCGATGCCCACCAAAAGTCCGAAACCTGAACACCAGCACAGCCAAGCAGCTTTGAGCTGTCCAGTTTCCCAATCTGAAACAACCCGAAGAAAGACAAGAGGAATGCCACTTCAAACAAACTCGCCTCATACCCGTTGAAGCAAAGCCGGCCCCGGCCCCTGACCCTGGAGCCCAAACCTGGCCCACATCTGACCTATGTGTACCCCCCTTCCCCCAAGCCTCAATTTGGTGCTGAATGGATTGTAACAAAGCAAGAGAAGATGCAGTAGGGTTTGACTCACCAACCAAGCCCTCTGCCGGCGACGGCCTCGGGGCTGTTCCTTGAGGTCACACCGAACCGGAATGCTCTCTCCTCACGCCAACCGGGGAATCCACACGATGCCGGGAATATCCAGATTGTGATCCACTGCCAGACCTGGAACAAGAAGAAGAATGCCTGGGCCTGTTGTACTGTTCCGTGCTCTCCCTACCCTTGTGCCCCATGGCGCACCGTGACCTCTTCCTGGCATCGTGCCCCCGCTCCTGGCCCTGCCGGCCGTCATGAGTCCCCAAAGCAATGCAAAAACACAAACTCAGCCTGATAAGTCAAATTAGTAATGGGAATTTCTAAAATGGCCAACATTTATATTAGCTCAACCCCTAAACCCTAACCCTCCAATCGCCTGCCTCTGAGCCCTGTCAAGGTCCCCTCTGGTAAGCTGCGCTTTTCTTCTTAGGACTACATTCCATATATAGACACCTTTAAACAAGTGATCTTTCTCCTGATCAGGTGCCGAGCAGCTGGTCTTAGTCTCTGCCCTAAACCTCTATCAAAGCTCATTCCTCATACTTTATAAATATATCACATTAACCTCTGCAGCACCCCTTTACTTTCTCAACCAATTCTTTCTGTTATGCCTCACTGCCTCTAACCAAGGTCTCTCCACCCTGACTCTTCTCTATTTCATTATCTTTCCCCTAAAATCTCTTCTAACATTATGCACACTCCCTCTTGCTCCACCTCTGCTCCCCATTTTCAGTGTGCATTCTGGAATTTGCCAAACCAGCTTTCATTCAGGACTTCTTTATTTCCAACTATCTCCTATTTCCAACTTGGCTGTTCTCCACTGACAGTATTATCCTTGTTTCCCTGTCAGCTCATACTCTTACATACTCCCAGACATGGTGACCACAAGAGTGATGGTGTGGCTCTCTTTGTCTCACCTCACCATATCTTTCATCTTCTTATTCATGTACATTTACTCTGTTTCTCTTCTTTTGATGTTCATGCCATCTGCTTTTTTTATCCCTTCTGCAGCACATTGCAGTTATCTACCAACTTCCTGACCAACCCAGCTCCTTCTTGGAACATTTCTCAGCCAGGCTGCCAACACTATAGACCTTATCTTTTCCAACCTGTCTCTGATCACCACCTCCTAAGTGGCAATCTTATCTTGCCCCTCACCTAACCATTCTCACTGTACCATATCTATGCAGAAGCCTGGCATCCCTTGATCTGCAGTATCTTTCCCTTGACATTCAACCCTTCCTTTCACTGATCTCATACATGATGCCCTTCTGTGGAATCAAACATCTGCAACTCTATCTTCTCATGTACCCTAGATATGTCCACTCACTGCCCTCTCTGTCCATCAAACTAAATGCCAGCCTTGGCATACAAAATCAACCTGATACCTCCAAAAGTGATTGAAATTGGTTTGAAGGTAGTTGTAAAAAGTGTCACAGCGACTGCCAGTCTATCTCCTACCCGTGTGGCTGTGGGAAAGGTGACTCATGCTCACCTTATGTATTGCTGCTTGGTAATGGCACCAACCGGTCTCGTTCAGGGGAAGCACATCATGTCCCTCTCTCTGTGGCAGCGGAAACATTTTTAGGGTATTTGAATATATTTTGAAATGTTCTCAGTGCCCTGTCGTAGTTTCCACTTTGGTTATCCTAGAGCCCTTTTATTCTATTGATTCCTGTGCATTTTGTCCTTCGCTTGTTATCTGACTGTTCTGACTTCTGTATCCCTTGACCATTGGCTTGTCTACCGTTATTGTTACAAATGGTTTCCCTGACCTTGGCCTACCCTGTTCTATTCTTTATTAACGTTGAATCTGGACATTCTGAGCATTCTTAAGTTCTGTGTGTTAGGCATTAAGATTATCCTGACTTTACGACAGGGCCATGGATTAATATGATCTGAATAGTGCTCAACCTAGATCAGGTACATTAACCCCTAAATGTATATAATATCATTATTCACATTGAAAAAAGAGGTATGAATAATTTAATAAAAAAGTACTTTAAAAAAAAAAAAAGGGGATGGAGCCTGACAGCCAAGCTGAACAGTCGCAACCTCGGCGTACTCCTTACTACAAAGCCAATTTACCACACATATAACCACTCCTGTCCATTATTTTCGGCTGAGGAATTGCGGATAATGTCCCAGAAGCAGAGTTACCACACATCGTGCAGCGTCTCACAAGTGCAATGCTACCACCTGCACAAGCCAAAGTGATAAACCTGGACAGCATGTTCTGCACTCCCAATCCGGCTAAAGCACAGGCCACTGCCTCCAATGACCTGATCATGAGGTTCCGGAACGGAACCCCCAATACCGTATCTAACAAAAGTTAATACACCCCTCACATTTTTGTAAATATCTTATTATATCTTTTCATGTGACAACACTGAAGAAATAACACTCTGCTACAATATAAAGTAGTAAGTGTACAGCCTGTATAACTATGTAAATTTGCTGTCCCCTCAAAATAACTCAACACAAAGTGAGTAAAAGAAAAAAGTAAGTACACCCCTAAGTGGAAATGTCCAAATTGGGCCCAAAGTGTCAATATTTTGCGTGGCCACCATTATTTTCCAGCACTGCCTTAACCCTCACAGGCATGTAATTCACCAGAGCTTTACATGTTGCCACTGGAGTCCTCTTGCACTCCTCCATGACGATATCACAGAGCTGGTGTATGTTAGAGACCTTGCGCTCCCCCACCTTCCGTTTGAGGATGCCCCACAAATGATCAATAGGGTTTAGATCTTCATCTAAAATTTGTTAAATATGACAATCATCCAATAGAAACATGGAAATATAGAATGCAACGGCAGATAAGAATCATTCAGACCATCTAGTTAGCTCAATTTTCTAAATACTTTCAATAGTTTCTGGCCTTATCTAGGATACTATATATATAATATATATATATATATAATATATATATATATATATATATATACACCCTGTTCCAAATTATTATGCAAATTATATTTTATTAATTTACCTAAATAATTGATGTAAATAACAGTCAGCATAATTCCCATGTTATCAAATATTAAGAGTACAATTGAAGAATATGCTAACTTTAGTGTACTAATAATCTTAATTTTAATAATGACAGGAGGCGAGTATTTTGCATATCTCTCTTTACTAACTCCATACAGCAGTAAAGAAACCCATAGAAAAAAGAACCAATCATAGGAGAGCAGGATGTACATAAGGCAATGTGACCTCATCATTTCCTCTTTCAGAAAGCGACAACAAGCAGAAGTAAATATATAGCAAACAATAAAACTAATAATAACTCCAAGTTCCCATGTGCGAAGGAGCAAACTTCCAAAGAATTCTATACGAACAACAAAAAAAGAGTTCAGGGTTGAGAAAAATCCAAAGGGTAAAATCTTCAGAGATCAATTATCTTCAGAGACGAATCATACTGAAAAGAGAATGTGTGACAGGTTTAGACATAGTCACGAACATGTAACTCCAATTAACGTACCACCTATCATCCCATTGGAGAATATAGTAACTATAATCTGATAACTAATAGTAATGAGAACTCTAATGAGGATTCCATATTAATGGAAGTACGAACATATCAAATAAGCACCAAAGTGAGAGGCAAACCTACCTTAACCCCTGATATCTGCAAAGCAAATGAATAGAAAGGGTGGGCAGTGATCCAGGGGGGTGGAAATACTCGCCTCCTGTCATTATTAACCCCTTAACGCCGTTAATCCCCAGGGGATTGGCGGTAACTTCCATTAATACTTACCTCCACCGCGATCCTCTTCTGGAGGGCTGCCTGACAGCCCAGGCAGCCCTCCTCCGGCGAATGGGGCCCCTGGGGGCCATGTGATCGCTCTCAAAGAGCGATCACATGGCCCCCTATAGCTATCTGTGGATCTGCCAGCAGGGGGGCTGTCTGAAATATCAGACAGTCCCCCTGCTGGTAGGTAGTGTAAAAAAAAAAAAAAGACCAGTTTTAAAATAAATTAAATGCATTTATATATATAATAATACATATTATATACATATAACGTCGTACATAATGTATTTTAATATTAATATAAGTATATATTAATATTAAAATACACTTAGAATGACGTTACATATATATAATATGTATATATATTATATATATATATATATATATAATAGATATATACACATATATTATATATACGTATAATTACAATAATAAATAAATTAAATAATAAAATATATAATATATAAAATATTGAAACAAAATTTAATATAAATTATATATTCATATGTAATTTCATTCTAACTGTATTTTATTATTAATATATATATATATTGGTAACAAAATACACTTAGAATGACATTCTATATATATCTATCTATATATAAAATACAAATAACCGCAAATAAATATATATAGATAAATACATATAATTACATAAAAGATTACATTAGTATACATGTAGATTTTAAATACCTATAAATGCATATATATTAAAATTCTACGTGTATATTTAAGTAATCTTTTAACATAATTATGTGATTTGATTAATTCAAATTTGATTGACATGCCTGACAACACAGGGAGAAAGTGCAGAGAATTTAATTCACAAGCACTATATTTGACCCTGTAACTCTCCAAGACTCCATAAAACCTGTACATAGGGGGTACTGTTTTACTCGGGAGACTTCGCTGAACTCAAATATTAGTGTTTAAAACTGTTAAATTGTATTACAATGATGATATTCTAAGTAAAAGTGACGTTTTTTGCATTTTTTACAAACGAACGTCATGTTTATGGACTATATTATTGTTGTAATATGCTTTACTGTTTTAAAACACTAATATTTGTGTTTAGTGAAGTCTCCCGAGAATAAAAGTACCCCCCATGTACAGGTTTTATGGTGTTTTGGAAAGTTAGAGAGTTACATATAAGGCTTGCATTTCATTTTGTTGACATTGATATTTGCCAGATTGGTTATGTTGCCTTTGAGACCGTATAGTAGCCCAGGAATAAGAATTACCCACATGATGGCATACCATTTGCAAAAGTAGACAACCCAAGGTATTGCAAATGGGATATGTCCAGTCATTTTTTGTAGCCACTTAGTCACAAACACTGGCCAAATATTAGTTTTTTGCTTTTTTCACAAAAAAAACAAATATGAACGCTAACTTTGGCCCGTGTTTGTGACTAATTGGCTACTAAAAACGACTAAACATACTTTTTCAAATGATATGCCATTATGGGGGTAATTCTCATTCCTGGGCTACCACACCGTCTCAAGGGTAACATTACTAATCTGGCAAATTTCAATGTGAAAATGGAACATTCTATATTTGACCCTGTAACTTTCCAAAACACCATAAAACCTGGTAATGGGGGGTACTGTTGTACTCGTGAGACATCGCTGATTACAAATATGTGCAATTTTTTGCAGTAAAACCTAACAGTATTATGACATTTACAGCTAAAATATGAGGCATAACTACAAATTTTTAAAAAAATTTAAAATTTCTCACAGTTTTTTTAATTTTATTCATAATAAATTATGTTTCAAATATAAATATTTGATATTAAATGAAAGCCCTGTTTCCCCTGAATAAAATGATATATAATAAGGGTGGGTGCATTTAATATGAAAGAGGTGAATTATGGTTGGACAGACATGTAGCGCAAATGCCAGGTTTTGTTTACATTTTGTTTTGTTCACAACGTGTACATTTGGCTCTGTCCTTAAGGGATTAAGATTATTAGTACACTAAAGCTAGCATAATCTTCAATTTTACCACACGACAGGAGGCTAGCTGGTATCCTAGAGGATCCTAGTCCCTTGGGCGTCCTCAGGTAGTGGTACGGGCTGCAGTTCTGTCTCCATCCTTACATAAGGGATCAAGATGCAGGACCGAACCAGACAGGCTGGAAATGTCCAGATGTAGGGGTATCCCTGGGTTCCCAGATTCCCAAGAGGGAATCTGCCTGCGATCGTCCGCTGACCTGCCAAGAAACCCCCAAAGCGGGACCAGGTCCCCAGGTAGCCAACCCTCCCAGGATAGAAGATGTGAGTACCCTACGGCTCTGTGAGGAATTGTCGGTCATGAATGTAGCAGGAGAAGATCCTCGCCTTTCTGTAGACCTTTTAAGCATGAGAAGCATAAGTCCTTAGGGGAGGCCTGGTCTGACGGAGCGCGATCACCATCGTGCCTTGACTTATACTGTGATACGGGAGACGGGTTGATCTTTTGTGAAGAAGACGGGGATCGAAGGAGTCTACATGTTGTCTGATAAACGTGAGTTGGTCCATCCCGGTGGATGTGAAACCTGATCGCCTAATCTGTGGTTACCTGCAGTAGGGTGCAGCCAATCTAGTACTTCTTTATCAATCCATGTATTGTGAAGTATAGGACCAAGAAACATAGAAACATAGAAACATAGAATGTGACGGCAGATAAGAACCATTCGGCCCATCTAGTCTGCCCAATTTTCTAAATACTTTCATTAGTCCCTAGTCTTATCTATAGTTAGGATAGCCTTATGCCTATCCCACGCCCACTACCCTCTCAGTAAAGTAATACTTCCTGATATTATTTTTAAACCTTGTCCCTCTAATTTAAGACTATGTCCTCTTGTTGTGGTAGTTTTTCTTCTTTTAAATATAGTCTCCTCCTTTACTGTGTTGATTCCCTTTATATATTTAAATGTTTCTATCATATCCCCCCTGTCTCGTCTTTCCTCCAAGCTATACATGTTAAGATCCTTTAACCTTTCCTGGTAAGTTTTATCCCGCAATCCATGAACCAGTTTAGTAGCCCTTCTCTGAACCCTCTCTAAGGTATCAATATCCTTCTGAAGATACGGTCTCCAGTACTGTGTACAATACTCCAAGTGAGGTCTCACCAGTGTTCTGTACAATGGCATGAGCACTTCCCTCTTTCTACTGCTAATACCTCTTCCTATACAACCAAGCATTCTGCTAGCATTTCCTGCTGCTCTATTACATTGTCTGCCTACCTTTAAGTCATCAGAAATAATCACCCCTAAATCCCTTTCCTCATATGTTGAGGTTAGGACTCTATCAAATATTCTGTACTCTGCCCTTGGGTTTTTACGTCCAAGATGCATTATCTTGCACTTATCCACATTAAATGTCAGTTGCCACAACTCTGACCATTTTTCTAGTTTACCTAAATCATTTGCCATCTGGCAAAAAAAGTATGTTTCTGCTCAACATTAGCAATAATGTGAAGAACATGCAGATAATGCAACCATGCTTAAAAATTGAATCATGGGACACTGCAACCAATGCCGAAACCCGGGATTGAACTAGTGACCTTTAGATCTTCAGTCTAACGCTCTCCCAACTGAGCTATTTCAGCTTCCCATTAAAAATTCCTGTCTGTAGGAGTTCCTTGTGTCCAATTGTCCAATGTGGAGTCTATATTTCTGCTCCAGTGTCACAGTTCCCACCAGACAGGCCCAGCAGGGGATTTGAACCTGGATACTTTGCTGTCCTGGGCCTGCTAACTACCTTTGAGCCACAGCAGTTCCTAGTCTAGGTATACAACGTACAGGGTCGCTGTGGTGCCGCGGTGAGTCGTGCAAATATTCCCAAGTTGTGGAATAGTCTATGAATCCCCTGAGCGAATAGTCTTCTACAAGTCTGGGGATTCCAGCCAGTTCTCGGATGAACATGGGTGTTGATGAGTTTTCAGTTCCCTGGAGTTATCTGAATGAGGTTCTCCTGGAAGTGTCATGTATTCATCCGCTTATAGAAATGTGGTTAATGACATTTACTGTCCACACAGGAAAAGTTGTGCCGAGCAGCAAACTAATCCACAGAAGGGTTAATGCTGAGCAGCAATTATGCAAATGAAACCTGGTGTCACATATTCATCCGCTTATAGAAATGTGGTAAATGCCATTTACTGTCCACACAGGCAAAGTTGTGCTGAGCAGCAATTATGCAAATGAAACCTGGTAACTGACTTTGGGGTCAAAGGCCGGTTACAGCCTATCAGAACTAAAGGAGGGGTATTTAGGCCCAGTTCTCATCCTGCTCAGTGCCCTGTCATGGTTTCCCTTGTGGTTGTCCGAGAGCGCGTTCCTGTTATTAGTTTTCTACCTGGTTTTTGACTTTGGCTTTGTTTATTGACTTCTCTATATTCTGGTATCCTGACTCCTGGCTTTCCTCATGGCTGCATTTCTTTCTGTGTTCCCTGACCTCGGCTAGTATTTTTGACTATTCTATGTACGTTAAATCCGGCCATTTTAAGGACCGGTAATACGTTACTTATTTGTCATCCGTGCTATATAGTTCTACGTGCTGGATCAAACAGTAATCCTGACAGGAAGAGAGTGTCTCGTCTTCCCCGCCTGTATTCATTATTTCTTTTGGTAGTTTATCAGGGCCCACCAGGCTCCGAGCTACTGGATCGGGAAGGAGAGGATGTCCCCTGAAAACTAGGTAAGGTGGTCGAGTGGGAAGGAAGAAGACCATCCTGACGTGTCTTTAGGTCCTGAACGCAAGTCGGTTGACTACGTAAAAGTGACCTACCCCAGGATTGAGTGCCTTTCACCTAGATGTGGTAAAATCCCCTGTGGATGTAGTAGGAGGTATATTGATGGTATCTGTGCATACCGTGTTCTCTGTCTACTTATCTGGAGCACCACTGGTTGACTCTCGCTCTATATGGGTAATAGAGCTAGCAGTAGCGGATCTCGGGTCAGATATCCCAAAGTGGTTGATGACCGGTTCCAAAGAATCCCTTGTAAAGGTAATCGCATAACACCTCCCTCCTAGGGGTTTAGGCCCTTATGAAAGCTGTGGGACCCTTGCGTGTCTAATAAGTTCCCTTCGGAACTTTGTGCCCTGTGCCTGGGGTTCCGACTATCTTGGCGTCCAGTACCACCAACCATCCGTCAGTGCGGAGGAGTGCTGCTATGGGCATCCTATGGGAGAGGCCAACACTGGGGTTTCCTGCGAGGAGCAGAAACTGTTTTTTGAGTCCATATACCCACCGTGTAGCGCATGTATAGTGGGGGCTCACCCCGGGTGCACAGGGTATGAACCCTTAAGTGCTGGCCAGCACCCTGATAGAGAGTATCAGTCACCTCTTCCATTATTAAATTCACCTCAAGGGGAATATATATCGTTAAGTAGGCGGCTCGGAACTCCTGTTCGGCGGTTGTAACCGCATGCCTCTGTTCGGCATTTTAGTGCAGAGCATGCCTAGCCAGGCCCGGTGCATAGGGCGTGGGCCTTTAACTGCAGGCCACAGAATAGGTACAGGGCATAAACCCATACCGTATCATGATTCATTATATTCATTATTCCTTCAGCTGTAGGTAGAGGCTGTTGCCGTAAGACTTCCTTCAGTCGGGTAGTGTGACTCGCCTATATCATAGGGGTCTCACCCCAAGAGCACCGGGTCTGAACCTATAAGTGCCGGTCCCAGATCCGAAGTTCGGGTTTTCAATCCTCGAGCTCGCTGTTGAGAGGGATAGGAGTAGAAGCAGCAGTGCTGTAGGGGCTCACCACGGTTACATAGGGTATGAACCCATCAGTGCTGGCCATCAGCCTCATAGAGAGTGTCCTACAGCTCTTCCAATAATGAATGCACCACCATGGGAGATATTCTGCGCTGAAGCTTGCGACTCTGTACCCTTTTTAGCTGAATAGATTGGCTTATACCGAGTCAGAGATCACCTCAGGTGAGCGGGGTATGTACCCGTCAAGCGTGTAGATTCCTGAACCCTGATCCAGGTGATATCCCTTTAAATGTACTTATACAGTATCATCTTGATAGTCTGTGTCCAAGGGTGCTATCCCTTTAAGGAATTCAAGGGTGATCCAACATCCGTGTCAGAGCATCGTGAACCACAAGAGCAACTAGACTAGCTGACAGCCCAGGTATATGTTACTCTTGAGCGCCGAAATCATGGTGGGCGGGAGTAGCAAAACGGCCGCCCATAATCTCGCGAGACGCTAGATTAAAGATGGCCGCCGAGGGTAAAAGAGGGGGAACATGGTCCCTTGAGTCTCGGTAGACGCGGGATCAAAGATGGCAGCCGCATCATGCTCGGGCTACCTCGTGGTCGCCCCACAGACTTCCCTGCACCAAGGTAGTGGATGTTGGAAAGCATCCAGCACATATTACCGGGTGTACGGTATGGGGCAGCCTGAGAGAATGAGGGCAGTGAGTCCGGCCATCCCCCTGAGGGTTGTAGGAGGAAGGGGTCGAACGGATAGTCCGGAAGAAGGGGTTAATGCCCGGGAGCAGGCGGGAACCGCGGGAGGGAAGGGGTTAAGCCCCAGCCAGCGGGGCTTAAAAGCGGGGAAAGAGGGTCCCCAGATGCCCCAGGTATAGAAGGCCAGGAAAATCGCCAGAAAAGTCATGATACATATGGTATAAAGTACATCTACCATAACTATACATAAAACCTATTAAGTCAATAATAAAATTTACACCTAACACCTATTAAATCCATGTTATAAAATACATATGACATCTATTAAATACATATAAAGTACATATAATACTTATCAAAACAAATGATGAAATGCCTATAAAACTGATAAATTACAAGTGATATTAATCACAACTAAAGGTGAAACAAGGATAACGTTAAATCGATGTAATATCTATGAAATAACATAGGAAAAACACAACTGCACATGGTACAGAAGCACAGCAAGAACATACAGCAAAATATATAAAAAATATTATACAGAAACAACCTCAGAGGCAATAGAAACAAAAAGTAATGGAGAAGAGTAATACTCTGACCTGTCTGCTTGATGGAGCAGTAAAGAAAGAGGAAATTATGAGGTCACATTGCCTTATGTACATCCTGCTCTCCTGTGATTGGTTCTTTTTTCTATGTGTTTCTTTACTGCTCCATGGAGTTAGTAAAGAGAGATATGCAAAATACGAAGCCTCCTGTCATGTGGCAAAATTAAAATTTTATTGAACAAACCTCCTAATGATAACAGTATTTTTTTTAACAAAAAAAACTTACAATGCACTGTTCCAAATTATTACGCACAGTAAGTTTAAAAAAACTTTTATAGGTTGTAAAGGACTGAAAATTTTAATTTGTTGTGTTTGCAGCATATTTACTGAAATCAAAAGCTATTTCAATCAAACTTATAACAACATTTTAACTTTTTAAACATTTTAACAGGTCACGTTACATTTTAACATAGGACCCATTATTTGATAACAGCTTCACAAGTCTTGCATCCATTGAACTTATGAGTTTTTGGACAGTTTCTGCTTCAATTTGTTTGCAAGATGTCAGAATAGCTTCCCAGAGCTGCTGTTTGGATGTAAACTGCCTCCCACCCTCATAGATCTTTTGCTTGAGGATGCTCGAAAGGTTCTCAATAGGATTGAGGTCAGGGGAGGATGGAGGCCACACCATGACTTTCTCTCCTTTTATCCCCATAGCAGCCATTTATGCAGAGGTATTATTTGCAGCATGAGATGGTGCATTGTCATGCATGAAGATGATTTTATTACGAAAGCATAGTTCTTCCTTCTGTACCAGGCAAGAAAGTGATCAGTCAGAAACTCCACATACTTTTCAGTGGTCATCTTTACACCTTCAGGGACCGTAAAGGGGCCGACCAGCTCTCTTCCCATGAATCCGGCCCAAAACACGACTCCACCACCGCCTTGCTGACGTCGCAGCCTTGTTGGAACAGGGTGGCCGTGCACCAAACATCCACTACTCGATCCATCGGGACCATCCGGGATTGCACGGCACTAATCAGTGAATAGGACTGTTTGAAAATTAGTCTTCATGTAGTTTTCTGCCCAATGCAGCCATTTCTGCTTGTGAACATTGGTTAGTGGTGGCCGAATAGAAGGTTTATGCACAGTTGCAAGACTCTGGAGGACTCTACACCTTGATGTCCGTGGGACTCCAGAGGCACCAGCAGCTTCAAATATCTGTTTGCTGCTATGTAATGGTATTTTAGCAGCTGCTCTCTTGATCCGATGCATGGATCTGGCAGAAATCTTCCTCAATGTGCCTTTATCTGCACAAACCCGTCTGTGCTCTGAATCAGCCACAAATCTCTTAATAGTGCGATGATCACGCTTAAGTTTTCGTGAAATATCTAATGTTTTCATACCTCATCCAAGGCATTGAACTATTTCACTCTTTTCGGCAGCAGAGAGATCCTTTTTCTTCCCCATATTGCATGAAAATGGTGCTCTGCTTAATAATGTGGAACACCCTCCTTTAGTAGTTTTTCCTTAAATTGGGCTCACCTGGCAATCTAATTATCACAGGTGTCCGAGATTGTTTTCAGTGATCAAAAGAGCCCTGAGACACAATGCCATCCATGAGTTAAACTGAAAAACAAAATATTTAATCTTTGTGACACTTAAATAGAATTTGCATAATAATTTGGAACAGGGTGTGTATACACTAATAAGGAAAAACCTCCAACCTTGGATCTCAAACATCAGAAAATTACCACTCATATATTATCATTCCTCAATGTAAAGATTTATGAAAAATATTTATGTGAAGTATTTATTAATTCAAAATAAACACCACTTGAAAATAAATAACTTAAACAGTGAAAATAAGTTTAAAAAAAAAAAGCGATAGCCAGACCAGTAATCCTTACAGTATGAAATTTAGTGTTTCTTAAATAATATCCACTGGTATGAATCTATCGTATAACCAGCTTTGTAGAAGAAATTTGTAAGGAAGTATCCTTAGAAGGAAACCAGTTCTTACTCAAAATTATTTGAAACACAATAATTACTGAATATATCACAACGGAACTGCGTCTGCAACTATGTGACACTCTCTCACATCAGGGCACCTCCTATATACATAACTATTATTTATTATGTATTATTGTCATTTCTATAGTGCCAACATATTCCATAGCACTTTACAATATTATAAAAGAGGGAGATTTAAACAATACATTTGAAAATTACACAAACTTACAGGAACAATAGGTTGAAGAGGACCCTGCTCAATCAAGCTTACAGTCTAGAAGAGTAGAAGAGGTGGGGATTACTTTTAATTTGATATACTATTAAAAACTATATTCATTCAAGATCTAAATGGATGAATTAGGGCTTCGTTACAGCTGCTTAAGAGATATTTGAGTTGCAGTATATTCCAAATATTTGCTTAAGTTGAATATATTTGCAAAAATTGGAAGACTATCAACCAGGTAAAATGTATGATCAAAAGGTTTATCTGCCACAACTAAGATGCAAATCTACATGAATCCCAAATTATGAAAATAATTATCAATGGAGATAGTGCCTGTGGCAGCTGATTGCATTAATTTAGAAGCAGATTAATATTAGAAATCACTTTTCAATGGGAAATTGACTACTTCCCAGATAGGTTTATTGTCCACTGTCTTCTGCCACAATAAAGGGACTCATCTAGGTCCCAGAAAATTAGATTAAATAGTTGTTTATTTAACCGGGAGATATTTAACTGAGGGGGCCCACCCACTCATGTCGTTCTACAGCCAATCAGACATGGACAAGTCATTGGGGCTGGTATGGAGCTCGCACACCTCCAGCATTGATGGCATCTCACCAATCCCATGTCATGCCGTGTAACCGGGATTGTGTATTTGAGAGCCTCCCAATATCAGACGCTATTAACCCTTTATCAATATATACTGCTGGTCGCTCAAGCAACCAGTGCAATCTAGAATTAGAAAGCTGTTTGAGTAATGGTTTTTCTTATACTTAAGACATTTCAACATCATTATAGATTTATCTTTCTTTCATAAACATTGGTTCTGGTCTCTGTAATCCCCTTATTCACTTGTAATTTTCTTCATTTTTGTCTCCAATGTCTTCATCAAAATCCTTATTTCAATTTTGCCCAACAGCTGTGCATACTTACCATCTTCCACTAGAGGGTGTAGTGACTCCCCTAATTTGGCGATCTCTTGAGTTAGCAATTCTAAATCTTTCTTATCAAGAAAATCTATAGTAGTAAGGATCCTTTGTCCAATAATTGATCCCACTTTGTGTATGTAGATTGGTCATACATTTGTGTATGCTAGTCTCCTAAATAATCTGAATCCTCTAGGTATTTATATTATTTGCAACATAAAATTCCAAACTGGCTATATCCCACTATGTGTGTACTTCTTACTCCATAGCTTTACCCAGAGTGTAAATACATATTTTAACTTCTTTGTACTGTCTAGATTTATCAAATATGGGTGCCTCATTACCATTGTTACCATGGTTACCCTATTTACCACTATAACGTCTTAAAGCATAGAATTTAGCAGGGCTAACCATACAGATATATTCGCTATAATATTATATAGTTAGTAAGAGTTCCTCTATTTAAAATATATAATTCATTTTATTAAATACAAATTTAAATAGACATATAAAAATTGAAATAAACAATTGATTACTATAATTTATAGCAAAGTTTATAAGATTAAAGTCTATGTTTGCAATATCAGTAAAATAGAATAACATACCCTCTTGAACAAGTCAACCTCTCAGTCATGATAACATGGAGCAGTGTCTCTGTCTCCAAAATCTCTCCTCTGTTTCCTACTATAAATAAGTACACACATTTATACCTTAGATTTTCAATTAGGTTATGTTAGGACCTACCATAACTTGGCAAAGATACAAGTTCATGAGCTTTAAAGGACATAGCCTTAACTTGTTCATTTTACAAGGGAACATCTTCATAAGTCTATTGTCAAGACCTAGACATCTTATCTATGTTTAACCCCTTAAGGACCAAACTTCTGGAATAAAAGGGAATGATGACATGTCACACATGTCATGTGTCCTTAAGGGGTTAAACTAAAACAAAGGGACACCGTAGGCAATGTATCTGCTTCATCTCATTAAACTGGTTATAGTGTCTGGAGTCCTCTGGTACCATCATTTCTTTCAGCATTAAACAGTTTTTAATGTTGTAATGTTTTAATGCTAAACAAGAGTCCACGGCAGTCTATCCCCTCTGTGCTGCTTTGGCTAATAAGGAAGTATTACCCTGAGAGGCAATGGGCAGCTGTGATTGGCTGAGTGTGTCAGCTGACTGTTTTTAACCTGTCAGAGCTCCAACTGACGGTATGAATGGGTATGACAACAAGGAAGTGTGTAATCTCTGCCTTAGCTACACATACAGAAGGGTGGCCTGTGGGTGGCCAGGGACTCTTATTTTGTGGCATACTGCACAAACATGGTGCAACTCTGAATGGAGGGACAGTGCCAGGCCACTCCAGGCACTATAACCAATTCAAAGAGACAAAGTGGTTATAGTGACTACAGTGTCCCTTTAAGGGTACACATGACATAGGAAATTCTCTGACGTGTTGCTACATTAACCTAGGACAAAATGTCATCCTTAAGTCTGAACACCATATTAACTGAATATGGGTAAGAGGTCATTTATTAAAGAAACATTGTATGAAAAACAATATTTTCCATTTCTAACAAATTGTCTGTTTCCATAATCTACACAGTTTAAGAAATATTTTCATTCTACAAACTTGTAATATTTGCATATGCCCATAACGCTACCGTCTTCCCCTAAACTGACATTCGCCAAAATTCTGTTTATGCTTGTTGACCAGTCGTTTGTATTTCTCAGCCTCACATTTTAGGATTCATTGCTTACTCTTTTGTTATTGTTCTAGTGATTCATTTGCCGACTCACAAATTGTCATACCTGGGACTGCTGTGCAGCACTTGCAGGCTCAGGTGGGTGTCGTGCAGCAGCCACAAAGATTCCGTTTCCACGGCGCTCTCACTGGAGTGAATGCTGCATTCCTGGATACCTCCAGTTTGGAGATTACACTGTGTTCTCCCCACAGAAGTGCAGACAGCTCTGCACTATCTGCGAGGTTGCTGGATTACCATGGCAGATTCCTGTAACACCAAGGCAGAAACTCTTTCTCGTATGTTTTATGAAACCGAAAGCTGAGTCTGAGACCTCCTCTATAGTACCATCCGACAACATCATTGTTCCTACTATTACCACTCTGTCCTCTACGCTTATAGAATCTATCCAATCCAGTCAAACAGTGGCTCCTGCTCAGTTACCTCCGGGCAAATTATATGTCACCCTACCACATCATGTAGAATTACTACACTTCCTGTATAACTATAAAATGGCAGGTCATCCAGGTGTAAAAAAAAATTACTTCTGTCATATCAAGACTATTCTGGTGGCCTTCCATGAAACATGACATATCTGATTACACTGTAGCCTGCACCACATGTTCACAACTTAAGGTGTTCCATTAAATACCTATAGGTCTCTTGCATCCTTTGTCCATTCCGCATAGACCACATTGGCATATCCATGGATTTTGTGGTTGATGTATCTCCCTCTAAAGGGAACACTGCTATATTAACCCAAATAGACAAATTCTCTAAAATGGTTAATTATATAGACAAATTCTCTAAAATTGATAATTTCATTCCTCTTCCCAAATTGCCTTCTTCCTTTAGAATTAGTCATTGTTTTTACCAGAGAAGTTATCAGACTGCGTGGTATCTCTACCCTAATAGTGTCTGATCGTGATAGCCAGTTCATATCCAAATTCTGGCATGACTTTTGTTCTGAGATGGGCATTTAGCTGGCTTTTGCTTCCGCTTATCATACGTAGTCTAATAGTGCCTTCCTGTCAAGGCCGCACTTTGACTGACAGACACTTTCCTATTGATACATTCACTGACATATACTCACTATAAGATACAGTTATTGGCACCCATACTGTTTAACCAACACACACTTTCACTGACAGACAGACACACACACAAACACTCACTGACAGACACACACTCTTATATACACTGATAAACAATGACATACACACTCACTGATTTTTACACACTCTGATAGACACTCACTCTTACACAGACTCACACTGACATACTCACACTCACTAACAGACGCACACAATCACTGATTTTTACACACTATTACGCAGGCACACACACACTCACTGACAGACTCATACTCATTTACAGACATACACTCATTGACAGACACACATTCTCATATACACTGACAAACAATGACATACACGAATACTCATTGATTGACCCACTCTGACAGACACACACACTGACAGACTCACACTCACAGGCAGACTCACACTCCCAGGCAGACACACAATCTCTGGCAGATGCACACACTCACTGACAGATACATACACTCACTGACAAACACACACACTCACTAACAGACACAGACACACACACAGACACAAACACACTCACTCACAGACACACACACACTTACAGACAATCACACATACACACTCACAGACACATACACATTAATTCACAGACACACACACATATTTCCCCCAACACTCACATATTATTATAATTTTTTAAAATTTTCATTTAAATCCACCCAGCCTCTCGGCGATAGAAGATGACGCCCTCTTCGAGGGGGGGGGGCTCAAAAATGGCCAGCCGGCCTGCTCTTGAGCCCCCCAGGACACGAGACAAACTGCGTGGGCAATTGGAGGCGGTTTTTTTGCTGCCCCTGTAAAGTTCTGCCCAAGGCAAATACCTTGTTTGCCTCGTGTAAGATACATCACTGACAGCGCGTTCTGTATTCCCATTTTTCTAGGGGTCGTTTGTAGTATCTGGTCCACTGCAAGGGCTATGGGCCTGAGTAGCGTTCTTGGTTAGGGCATTGCGGATCTCCATGCACCGTGCTTGATGCGCCGTTTTCATTCTGCACATCCTGGTAAACCATGTGGTTCCTGCCCTTTGGGCGGAGTTAAGTAAGAGAGTACTGTAATAAGTAGGACTGCCACGCGGAGCTTGCAGGCTCATGGGGGTGGCACGTTGCACGGGGGCGAACGCTATGTTCCTGGATACCTCCAGCACGGAGGTCACGCAGCGTTCTCCCCACAGAAGGGCAGATAGCTCTGCACTATCTGCGAGATTTACATGGCATGGCAACATTGCGCCACCTACAGGTGTTATTTGAAATTACAGGACCCTGTAGGTGTTACACTTTATACTCACCTTTTGGTGATGTCATATTTGTTGGATGTCTTGGTCTACCCTGCACAGGTCACACCCCTTTGTGTGTCCTAGTGCAGTGTGATGATAGTGTCCAATGTTATTCTTCTTTCCTTATATAGATTCCCATCTTGCTGGAAATAATTGCCCTGTCGTGGTTCTTGCTAGCATTATATTATTATTCTTTTTTTTTCTGTTGCTGACCCGGTTTCATAATTTGACTATTCTTACTCTCTGTATCCCTTTGACCTTGGCTTGTTTACTTGCTCTTGTGTACCTCTGTATCCCTTGACCTAGGCATCCTTTATTACTACGATTTCTTGCCTTTTTAGGCATACATTAAGCCCGGCCACTCTAAAGTCCGGTATACGTACCCTGTTCTTCCTTCTAATTCGTCTAATATCCTTCACCCTGTGTGTAGGGGTTACCCCAATCCTGACACAGATATATTGGCTATGCACATGTGGCTTTCTGGTCCTTTCTATGCCATGACCTATCAGTTGTGGACATCGACTTTGCCTTCAGTGATGCCAGACTCTGTTTGTCTTTTTACTGTCCAGAGGTCTGTGTTGTTGTTGGCAAGACCTTTAGTATCTGTGGAAGAGTCTAAATTGTTTGAGTATGTTTCTCTGGGAGCTCCTTCCACATTTCAGCTACTACAAGATCCCTCACAATTGTTACTAAAATGTCGTGCTGTTTTCACACAACTCATTGTTCAGCGAATACTTTTCTTTATTTTTGTTTTAAATAACTTTCACAAAAATCACACATTGTTCATTGAATGTTTTCTGCATGAGCTTAACCTAATTTGCCTGATAATTAGTAAATGCCTGATAATGAGAGTAAATCTTCTAGAACTCGAAGATTGGAGAAACTGATAAGCTGCTGGTTGAAATTGGAAGTTTCGTCCTAGATTTTCACTGCATTACTCATTGATGGCTTTTGTGGCACTGGAGACTTGCATTATCAGTTGGATACAGATAAATTGAGAAACATATGGCTAATGTGGCACTGGCGGCTTGTGTGTTCAGTTGCACACAGATAAATTGAGCAACTTAAGGCTAATGTAGCACTGGAGGCTTGCATGTTCAGATGGACACAGATAAAGTGACAATTTATGGTGGTTGGGCAATGGTTAGGTAGACAGCATATACTTAAATTTCTGCTGAATAGAATGATCATGCAGTTCTAAAGTTTTTTCTTTGTTTTGCTATATAAAATAATTGTGGCTATTCAAACCAAGTAATTCAGCTGACCTGTAGGTCATTGACTACTGCTACTCCCATCTTTAAAGGTGATTTCTTAAAATAATTTATAACGATCATAGCAGGGAACTGTGATTTTCCCGGATTTTTAATACTATATACACTCATTACAATATTTAGCAAATATGTATTTGTCAGGCATGAAAAGTAGAATTAACTGAAGAATTCCATAGTTGTTTATCATGCAGACTGCCGCCTCATTTCAGCTCCCTGTCAATCAGTGGTAAAATCTTTGTACTTTGTACTTGGCCGTTAAAGCATAGCAATAAAAGCTTGTAGAGAACAGGAGAAATGAAACACAATTAAGATTTGCAATATTTGCCCTGGCTTCACCCTATCTTAACAACAATATGATGTAATTTACAAAAATATTAATATAATTTTAAAAGAAAATTAAATATCTGATCAAAAAGGGTTAAAATGCATTATAGCCGATTTCAATGTTTTATTCACTAGTATACATTTCAGAGCACTGACAGTTCCACTTTAAGAGCTTCATACATGTGTGCACATGGAGCTGGGCTTTGATATATGAACCTACACAAAAAGGCCAAAATTTGAAATATATCTTTGAATTATAGCATTTTGATATTTATTTGATTATCTACATGTTTACAATAATACAATAATATTCTTCACTGTGGAAAGCTGATCTGTTATCTATTATTAAAAGGTTTGTTTAATGTAATTCTTCTCCTGGTCGGCAATTTGTGTAATACATTGCATGCATCAGTGGTATTGTATTGGTCAAAATCTATTTCAGTAGCATTAATGTTTTATTCTTTAAGCTGCACAGATAGAGAAAATAGGCAAACCGGATAGTGTCGGTCAGGGAAGTGGTTAATGAACAATAGGGCAATGTAGGAATTCCCCAGGTTAGATTTAGCACATTCATATCTCTTTGACTGAAGACAAAGCTTGAAACTATTCTGAGCCCTATATAGTAAGCTATTTTTTTACAGTTTAAACTGACATTATATAGAATGCTGGTAAACTTGTTCACTTGAACTATGCTACAATTTTAGAATATTTCTAGAACAAATATTGTTCTTAGCAGAAACATTAGCTGAAAAGAAACAATGCAAAAATAGGTTGGGTTAATGTCAGATATTAGGATATTTCTACAATATGAATGAATATGAATGGTGTGCTGCAGTGACTATGGTGCTTCAAGTATTTTTTGGTGGATGACAAAATATATCTTTAAAGATATTATGATGGTAATTAAGAGGTTCTAGCTATCCTATAGTAACTTTTGGAATCATTTATTCAAATACAATTGCATTCCTATAATGTGTAATACATTTTCTTGGATTTAAATGCCCCCCTTTTATGACCATAGACCATAATACATCCTTTATGAAAATGTACATGAATAGAGTTGACAAATTAAGTATATTCCAAATATGGATCAGTTTTGAAGCACATTTTAAAGAAATTAGATATGGGTGATTTTATCTATACGTACTCACTTGACAGGTGCATAGTCGCCATATGGCCAGGCGGAATCAGGACAAAACCCCCCACATACCTATCCCAATAAAACACGGACACTAGGGCATATGGGGTTTTATTAAATATTAATAATTTAACATAGAAAAAAATAGGTCATTGCCCTCACCCCGCCATCACATCTGTATCCTTCAGTTAGATATAAAAGGCAATGACCCATATATAAATAACATATAACAGTATTCCAATATGAACATAACTTAAAGTGCCAGTAAACATTTTAATTAACCATGGTAGGGGTATACCCGGATACCTCTACCCCACCAGGTTCTGAGCCACTGACAGGGCTCAAAACCTAACAACCATTTCCATAACCATCCTAATGGGGAGCTTATTTCCTATCCTTAAGCTCCCTATCCTGCCGCTGTGACAGACCTCAGTCTCACCAGGCCCGACCCAAAACCGCTGGCCTCCTAGCCAGGTACCGCGCCCACGCGGCCACCAGGCATAACTTGGATCCCGGCAGAGTCACCAGTGTCATGTCTCGCCCCACCCCCCTGACATCGGTCTTGGACCAGGCCAAGTGAAGCACAAGTTGCCCCTCCTACATGCCCACCTCGGATACCTGAAGACCACCATTAGCCACCCAGTTAGCGCTCACCAGTTCATTGATCAAAAACATACCAAAAAAGGCCAAGAGAAATGCTGCACTAAACAGAAACCCTTAAAACTTGTCTAAACAAACCTTGGGCAACACTCGAATTAGATCCCCCAATACTCGCATGGACACCAGCCTCCTAGCATCAGGAACCCTATGTCCCCTCCGATAACCCTTAAGCGCCTGGCAGATCACAAAGGACTTCGTAAGATCTTCCCACCCGAGCAACTTGAACCAAAACGCTAGCGCCGCCATATTCCTATGCACCACTGGAGAAGCGCACCCACTAACAACCTGAATATAAACCAAAGCAAGGCATTGAGTCACAATTCCCCCATTATCGCCTAATCCATCCCACCCTATGAGCGTTCCCACAAATCCCAGACCTTACTGTATGCAGCCCATGTGGCCGGGGCCAAAGATGCTCTTACATATCCCCCAAGCAAGATGCTCCGAGCTGCCACATCTTGTCCGGGCAAGCCTGCCACATCTAATGCGCCCGGGGAGCCACCGTCCGAAACCGAGATCACTGCAAACAAGACAAAGCATCATCCACCACATTCAAATACCCGGGCACATGCCGCGCACAGAAAACCACATTGAGAGACATGCAGAATAAAACAAAGCGCCGCAACAGCCGCACCATCGGTTTTGACGAGGCGGGCAGATTATTGACTGTGTGTACCACGAACATGTTATCCGAGAAGAAGACCACCTTCCGGTCCCAAAGCCTATCACCCCAAAGAGCCAGCACCACCACCAAGGGAAACAGCTCCAAAAACGCCAGGTTACCAAGGGGTTCTTCCCTGTAGGTGTTACACTTTATACTCACCTTTTGGTGATGTCATATTTGTTGGATGTCTTGTATCCCTTGACCTAGGCATCCTTTATTACTACGATTTCTTGCCTTTTTAGGCATACATTAAGCCCGGCCACTCTAAAGTCCGATATACGTACCCTGTTCTTCCTTCTAATTTGTCTAATATCCTTCACCCTGTGTGTAGGGGTTACCCCAATCCTGACACTGATATATTGGCTATGCACATTTGGCTCTCTGGTCCTTTCTATGCCATGACCTATCAGTTGTGGACATCGACTTTGCCTTCAGTGATGCCAGACTCTGTTTGTCTTTTTACTGTCCAGAGGTCTGTGTTGTTGTTGGCAACACCTTTAGTATCTGTGGAAGAGTCTAAATTGTTTGAGTATGTTTCTCTGGGAGCTCCTTTCACATTTCAGCTACCACAAGATCCCTCACAATTGTTACTAAAATGTCATGCTGTTTTCACACAACTCATTGTTCAGCGAATGCATTTCTTTATTTTTGTTTTAAATAACTGTTACAAAAATCACACATTGTTCATTGAATGTTTTCTGCACGAGCTTAACCTAATTTGCCTGAAACAGCTCCAAAAACGCCAGGTTACCAAGGGGCTCTCCGCCCATGCCGCCGGCCTCCGCTCCGTGCAACAGAGCCCACCAAAGTAAGCTCCAAAGCCCACGCTACCCGACACGTCAGTGAAGAGTTCAAGATCCACAACTGAAACCTCCTCCTGCCGAAAGAACACCGTACCATTGAAATCCCAGGAAGAACGCATCGCACACCCCCAGATTAGCCCGCATGGGCGATGACACCCAAATGAAATGGTGCAGAGACTGCACACCCGCCGTAGCCGTAGACAGGCTCCGGCTGAGAATTGGAATCACCCTGCAAGCAAAATTGAGCTTCCCAATGATCAATTGCAGCTGCCATAGGGTCACCTTCCGTGCCCGAAAAACCTCAGTCATCACACCCCGCAGCCCCACCAGCTTATCCTGAGGCAACCAACACACACCTAGCTCCAAATCTATCTCCAGGCCCAGGAAACTAAGGCACTCTGTCTGTAGTGCACCACCGATTTACTCCCCGCCTCTATCTGAACCGCTCACTCCAGAAAGGAACTGAATTTTTCAAAGTAAGAGCAAGAAATCGAACAGCCCATCGGGAGGCATAAATCGACAAAATACCCCCCGTCAAAGAAGCAACCCAGCAAGTGATGACAATCCGGGTGAACTGGAAGCAAGCGAAACACAGCCTCCGCATCAACCTTAGCCATCAAGGCCCCACGCCCGGCTCTCTTAACCAACTCAACCGCATGGTCGAATGATGCATAAGAGACCAAACATAGGTCCGTATCAATGTCGTCATTCAATGACGCCCCCTTCGGGTAGGAGAGGTGGTGACAAGAGGTGGTGAGTCGAAACTTCCCAGGGTCCTTTTTGGGGACCACCCCAAGAGGAGACACCTGCAAGTTAGCCAGAGGAGGTGCCATGAAAGTGCCCGCCATCCTGCCCAACTGCACTTCTTTTGCCAGCTTCTCCCACACTACCCCCGGAAACTTCACCACGACCGCAAATTGTGCAACCCGGCCCGAAACCTGCCCGCAGCAACTCTCCATTCGCCCTATTACCGTAGCGGCTTAGCCACAGCACCATTGCGTATAACTTCACTGGGGTTAGGCCCCTGGCTCCCCCATCTTACCCCTCTTAAAGCACCAATAGAGTCCGTGGGAGTCCCCACAACCCGAACACTTGTGCTTACAATGAGAGGCAGCCCCCCACTTGGACTGACCTTCACTGAATAGCCAGCATAAGCCCTTTTGGTAAGCGGCTGAACTGGACTGGCCCCATGCGCGGGCCATTTGCTGAAAGGGCTGCACCTTTTGCTCCATCATCAGCTTCATGCAGAGAGGAATGTCCATCTGGTCGCACCTCAGACCCCGATTAGCCGCTAGCCGTTGTCAGAACTGTTCATCATACCTCCACCATGTCAGCCCGCTGTATGGTACGCCACCCAGATCTCGTCCAAGTAGCAGAACAGCGATGAACACAGCCACGGCGACTTCTCGCTGGCCAGGACGCAGAACGCCCTTAAGTAATTTCCAAAAGACTTCGGTATCTTACGATACTGCTTCTGTTTCTCCTTCTTCTCGTCCTTCTTGTTCTCCTCCTTGAGGTCAATAAAGTCCTCCAAGAGAAAAAGCGAGAGCTCCCCTTTCCATAACTTCTCCTTCATGTCGTATTTCACGTGAACCCTCAATGGCTCAGCGAACGACACATATGGGTGCTGCCGCGGCGTGTCCAGAACCCGCTGTCAATTCAACCCTCTCGCTCCCGACCTTTCGCCGACCGTTCCAACCGGGGAGCCCACCCAATGCCGAGAATGCCCAGATGAAGAATGTCTCAGAGACCTGCAATGAGAAGTCCTGGGCAGGGGGTAGGGTTCCCGAGCCACCCTCCTCCCCCCACCCCCGGGAGCACCTGCCCAACTACAAGGTATCCGCTGAGAGTTGCCATACCTCTTCCACCCTGGAGGCCTGGGAAGCCCGGCCCTGGGACTACGATTCCTTTCATCCCCTCCGACTGACCCGCCTGCCACCCAGACTCTGCCCCCCCCCAGCGCCGGTGTACCTTCCCTAATGGACCCCTACCCTGCATGACGTCGGTCCCTCCCCACCCTTACCCTGATCCTCCCCGACCCAGTAAGGGAGACAACCCCATTTGCCTGTCTTGTACAGGGGCGTCTCCATTTGGCCCTGGAGCTAGCACCGCCGCTGCCAACCTCTCCACCAGGGGCCACCCCATGTGACTGTCCAGGGGGCCCACCATCACCCACTCTAGTAAAATGAACTTATATGAAATGCACTTTGAATTCCTAATATTACACAGAATTGTAAATAGTCACGGCAGGTATATATTCACTAAACAATGCACTGTGGTGAATTGAATACAAATAAATAGCAAAACATATGGCAAATATAGGCTAAACTGAGAAAAGTCAATGCAGCTATTTTGGCATAAAATTTGTTATCTGGGTTTCTCTTCCCTACAATTCCATCTTCAGTAAATATCCCCTCAAACCACTAAAACATGCATACCTCCCAACATGTGGCCTCTTCAAATCGGGATGGGTAGGTTGAGGCCTTATGAGACATCACCAGTGATGCAAGCCTTATCACTAGCAATGTCCAGAATGGTTGCATGCCTCATGATACAGAAGCGATAAAAAAAAACAAAAAAACTCTGGTTTGGGCTCCCACTCCGCTCCTCCTCCACCAATGTCAGGTGGCAGGGGAGACCTGATGCATATTTGCTGCAATGGCCGCACTTGCATTAGTATTTTCCCCATGGGAAAGAATGTATAATACTTTCCTATGGGGCTTTACATGACACTGGATGTCCTCATGCATAGCGTGAGGACGTATAGTGTCAGGTGACCAAAAGTCACCTAACAACCCGGAAGTCCCTCAAGTGGCTGTACTGTGACAAGTTTTTTTGGGGGGCATGGGTACAAATAGCTAGGGTGCAAAATAGTCTTGTACCTTCCCTGGTTAAATGGTATTAGTTAGAAGTATCAATTGTTTTCTACTGTCACTTCCCATTTATTCTAATTAATAACTTCCCACAACTACCCATTTTCTTTAAGAAAGCATTCCAGGTTCCAAAACCACTACAATACAAAATATTCATTCACAAAGCATAGCTTAGTTATAGGGGTCCACTAGTGCAGCCAGTGGCATACACACAACCCATGGGGCCCCGGTGCGTTACTCTGCGCGGGCTGGGGCCGCAACACATGGCGGCGGGCACCTGGTCGCAGGGGTCGCAGGGCTGCGACCGCTGTATGTACACCCGTGCATGCAGATATACATACACTTAAAGGACCACTACAGACACCCAGATCTAATCAGCTCAATTAAGTGGTCTTGGTGCCAGGTCCCTCTAGTTTAATCTCTGAAACTGCTATGTTTCACTGAGGGTTAATCCAGCCTCTAGTGGCTGTCTCATTGGTGGGCCAGGCCCGGTCGCAGCCGCGACCCCTGCGACCCTGGTATGTACGCCACTGAGTGCAGTCTAAATGTATTCAAAGTGGGAGTGAGGGCATTTATCATTGATAAAGGCAGGGCCACCTTAGGGAGCTAGAGCAAGGGGGCGCAAAAATCTGAATACCCTGCCTTTGGCTGGGGACTCGGATTTTTCATATTACCTCTCTCTCCCTGCAGCCTGCCAGAACAGAGCAGCCAGAGAAGTCGGCTGGTATGTCCTGATGATGTCAGGAGAAGGGGCGTGACTTCAACTGTTCTTCTCTCAGGACTGCTGGGGAGTCTGGGAGAAGAGCAGTGTAAGTCACACCCCCTCTTCCTGACAACATCAGGAGTGGCCAACTTCACTGGCTGTTGTATGCAGACTCCACATCCCGTCACACACCTTCCTGGCCCAAGGTAAGCTTTGGGGGGGCGGGGAATACACTTTAGCTTTTTTATCCCCCTACTCAGCCCCTGTCCCTCTCCTCAACCCCTGTCCCCTTTTCTCAGCTCCTGTCCCCCTCCTCAGCCTCTGCCCCCCTTCCTCAGCCCGTGTCTCCCTTTCTGAGCCACTGTCCCCCTACTCAGCCCCCTTCCATAGCCCCGGTCCCCCTACTCAGCCCCTGTTCCCTTCCTTGAACAGTTTGACTTTTAACCTGGGGTCTACCAGGAACCACTCCCTGTCTCCACTACTTTCTATAGAGAGCTGGAAGCTCTCTATCTAAGCTTGTGTAAGTGTAAGGCTTAGCTCGTTAGCTGTGAGTGAACAGATGATGCTCTTAGACAGTGAATTGACCCAGCTTTGGAGCTTATGGCACCCCATACGAAGGAATAGAGATGGGGAATTACTCCAAGCAGAACCCAGATAATAAGTCAAACCAGTCTGACTACTTATAACAAGGAGGCACCAGAGCAGAGCACTCCTGACATCATAACCACTATAGAGCACCGCAGTGGTTATAGGGCATTACATGTTTATTTAATGAGTTAGGATAAAGGAAGAATGACTAATAGTTAATGCTAAATGCATTTCATTAGAGTTCCTATAAAAAAAAGGAACATGTAAATTTCCATCAGTTCATTTTATTAATAAGAAATGATAGTGTACATTTTATGGGGAACTAGCTCATATAAATTCCAAGAATGTAATCCTAAATCCTAAAGACTAAACTTAAACTATTCGAGAAAAAAGTAACACAATCAAAAGAATTTGCCAAGTAATAAAGAAGGTCTAGTGCTTTATATTACAATCTACAATATTCCTACATAATTTTAATTTTTATTCCTAGGAATTAGTATATTAGATACTAAAATGAAGAGAATAATAGTTTAACCTCTAAAGGATTCCACTGATTAATTAAATGTGCAGGATGTTCCAGACTGGGGTTTAGTCTTTAGGGACTTGATTAAGGTGTCAGGAAAACATGCCAGTGGCCCTTAATGGATTAAAGTTGCATACCTCCCGGCGTGGCCGACCGTCAGAGAAGATGGCCGCATGTTAGCTCGGCTCCGGCACCGCAGGCAATAAAATAGAAGGAGCACGAGCACCTACCACCATGGGGAACCCCAAAAGGACCCAGAGCGCCCACACAAGTAACGGGAAAGCACCCGCCGAGAGACCGGGCTCGGTCTCTAAATTTTTCAAAGACTATGCCGGCCCATCAGCGGAACACGGCAGTGCAAACATGGCGCCGATGGCGGGAGAATGCCTCTCCAACCTGCCCAGCCCTGCTGCATCAGAGACCTCAGCAGCCTCAACAGAACAAGACATTAAGGTCCTGCTCCAAAATTTACCCTCCAAGGCAGACCTCACAGCAATGCTGGAGAAACTTGAATCCTCATTCCAGCACAAGATGGGGGGACTGAGTGCTGAAATCCAGCACGTAGGCCTCCGTGTACATGACTTGGAGGAAGACAGGGGGCCAGTACAGACCCAACTTAAAATCCTGTCAAAACGTTTAGACACCCACGATACCCAAATTTCTCCGCTTCAAAGATTGCTGGACAACATAGATAACAAGGGGCGCAGAAATAATCTCAGGATCAAGGGCCTCCCCGAAACCGAGGCGGAAGATATACAAGCAAAATTGCAGGAGCTATTTAATTTATTACTAGAGAAGCCAATCACAACACTGATCTACTTCGACAGAGCACATCGCTCACTCAGACCCAAAGGCAACAATGGAGACGCCCCAAGAGACATCATATGTTGCCTACACTATTTCACAGACAAGGACCGAATACTCAAAAAGCTAAGAGACACCAATCCGCCATTGCTGTTCCACGGACAAGAAATCCAGATTTACCAAGATCTCTCCTGGCTCACCCTCCAAGCAAGGCGACACCTAAAACCGATCACAGACCAACTACGTGCTAGAAACATCAGATACAGATGGGGTTTCCCCCTAGCCCTTATTGTCACACTCAAAGGGATCACCCACATCATAGGAGAACAAAGAGATGTGACACCATTCATAAGAACGCTGAAACTCGCAGAGGTACGCATTATGGACTGGTACGCAATGGACCCAGCGCTGACCCTTACCCGACAGCCAAGGGAACAGAGAAGATGCTCACCCCCCAAGAGGCAGAGAATGGGGTCCACGGACGACCATAGAAGAGGAGACCACCCGCTCGCTCAGAGACCTTGAGGGGCACCCGACACAGGCCAGGACTCCCCAGGGATTATATGCAACCAACCTCAACCCAACGCGACTAAGACCGACCCAACCCGTACAGCAGACTACAGGCACACCACAATGGTCCCCAGTTGACCCGATCCATCATCTCGTCGCCTCAAGTCATAAAGGCGCAACAGCACTGGGCAACACACGGACAATACCACGTGAAAAAAAAAAAAAAAGCCAAGCAGGGCCTTACACTGGGACATTGAACTACAGGCTGCTCCTCAAAGTTACAATGAACTGCACGTAAGACTTTCACAGATCAGGTCGTATGCTCGCATGTTCACAACCTGTATACGAAGTATAATGGTATGTAGCACCTAGTGACACAGGCCAAGGTGTTTTTAAAAAACAAAAACAAAAAAAAAACCCTGACCTACTCTTGGGTAATCACAACACTACAGCCCGGGAAACTGGCTTCCAACCTTTCCCTACACCTCACCCCATAGCACAAGGACCGGACTTACGATCATCCTTAACTCCAAATGAATATGACAAATGCAAGTGCCTACTTGCCCACCGACACATGCACGCCACACACCAACAATACAGCACATACACCCCTACAGCCATACTGACCGCACCACCACCGCCACACCTCACACATTCCCAGAGCCGGAGACGCATACTGACCCTCCCGCTGCGCGACTCCACTAAGGCTCCAGCATCTCAGCCACATCACCACATACACAAAATACAGATTCACTGTACATAGCTAAGTTCGAAAACATACACTACTCGGACGGGGGAAACCCATGCCCCAGTACTCTCTGGCAGACGTGTAAGACCAGAGCCTTTGTTTATGTTTATGTTTGTATATACTTATATTTTCGTTGTGCATTTTCCTTCCAAAGTAAAGGTTCATGACAAAACGCTTCCACAGACAAGGTTACACCACAAAACGCGGTGTTCGGTGCTCGCAGCTCGGACGGGGGGATTCACCCACGAAGTGAGTGAGACTGACCACACAACAAAGTAGGTGACCACACGAATCCACCACTACACTACTAGCGCCACACCCTACATATGGCTCTAAAAATCGTATCCCTCAACGTCAAGGGACTAAACACCCCGAATAAATGCAGGCTACTACTTAGAGACCTGCAATCACGCAAAACCGACATTGCCCTCGTACAAGAAACCCACATACCCAAAACAGCACCAACAACCCTAAGAAGCAGATATTTCCCACAGACCCACAAAGCTAGAGCACTGCACAAACGCGCCAGAGTGGCAATACTAGTACACAAAAACTGCCCACTCCTAGTGACCGGGACACAAGCTGACCCAGAGGTCCGCTACATCGTTATAACAGGCACGATACATAGCACAAAAATAAGAATCATTAATGTGTACACCCCTAACGTACCAGACCCTACATACTGGGATACTCTAACATCAATAACTAACACTGACGGAGGGGGCATAACACTGGTGGGGGGCGACTTCAACGCTGCACCAAGTCTGGCCATAGACAGGAGCACAAGAACAGGCTCACCCAGGTCCCATGAGAGGGGTGCACAGGATAAACTATTGCATACATCCCTCACTAACACACAGCTCCTGGACTCTTGGAGGCTCCAGCACCCAGATACACGTGACTACACGTTTTATTCAGCGCCCCACTGCCCATACTCGAGAATAGATCACATATTCCTTAACGGTGTAGGGATGTCCAAACTAGCGCATTCCGACATAGGCAGTATCACCTGGTCGGACCATGCGGATATATCGATCACATTAGACAAACTCAAATACTCCGCCTCTTGGACCTGGCGACTTAACACAAGCTTACTAAACAGCGACACACTATGCGAGGACACGCGCACTTTTATAGCAGAATACTTTACACAAAACACCACACCGGAGGTAGACCCAGTGGCGATATGGGCGGCCCACAAAGCGGTCATGAGAGGACACTTCATAAAAGCGGCAACACACAAAAAGAAACTGATAGAATTTCAGGCTGCCCTACGAAAAGCAGAACAGATGCACAAACATAATCCCACAACCGAAAAACTAGAACTCACCGCACTAAGACACTCAATTAGAGGGATTCTGCTAGAAGGGGTCGCACACTCGATCCAGAGATCTAGGCGATTATTCTATGAAAAAGTCCAACAAAATGGACTCCCTATTAGCCAGAGCACTACGCCCCAGAGGGGACTACAAGCCCATCACAAAAATACGCACGCTCACTCGGGAACTAGCAACGACTCCCCAAGACATAAACAGGGTATTCACGGAGTTCTACTCGAACCTTTATGGTCAAGCCCAACACCCACAAAGCACACCAGAACAAATACGGTCCTTATTGCACAACTTCCTGGCCAGCATAAATCTTTCAGAGATAACAGATAGTGACGCCACAAACTTACAAGAACCAATCTCCCAATTAGAAGTAGAAACTGCTATAGCAGTCCTAAAAGGGAATAAAGCCCCAGGCCCTGACGGCTACGAGATAGGGTACTACAAGAAATTTAGAGAAGAACTGGCCCCCCACCTCACCTCTTTATATAACCACTTTATGACAGGCGGCGCACCTGATGCCAACATGGCATTAGCCAACATCACGCTCATCCCAAAATCCAGGAAAGACACTGAACTCGCATCAAACTATAGGCCCACCTCCCTGATCAATTCGGACCTTAAAATATATGCAAAAATCCTAGCGGCTAGGTTGGCACCGATGCTCACACACCTAATCCACCCGGACCAGGTGGGTTTTATCCCCGGTAGACAATTATATGAAAATACACGTAGAGGGGCGGTATCAACATGGTACATGCAGAAATCCGAAAAGCCCTCACTCTCCATCTCCTTGGATGCAGAGAAGGCCTTTGACAGGGTGCAATGGCCATACATGTTTAGCCTCCTGGAAGAGTGGGGATTCCCAGCTGCTTATATCCAGGCCATGCGCGCTCTATATACAAACCTGAGAGCCCAAACCCTGATTGCAGGGACCACAAAGACCCCCTTCCACCTCCAGAATGGAACACGCCAGGGCTGCCCATTGTCATCACTGCAATTCGCCATCTCCTTAGAACCGCTACTGCAGGCTATACGCCAACACCCACACATACAAGGAATATGGGTAGCAGAGAAAACCTTCAAAGAATCAGCGTATGCAGACGACGTACTGCTGACTCTCACAGACCCCCTGACCTCCATGGGCCACATGACGGACCTGTTGGTCATGTATGGAGCCCTATCGGGCTATAAAGTAAACCTCAACAAATCCATGGCACTGCCATTTCACCTCCCGGCCCAGGATAGAGCACAAATAGCTGAAAGATATCACCTACCCATCACTGCAGACAACATGGCGAAACACGAACACCTACACAAGACTAACTACTCCCCACTTATTCACACACTCCTGAGGGACCTGGAGCAGTGGACAGACAAACCCATCTCATGGCTAGACAGACTCCACTCAGTCAAAATGAACATCCTCCCCAGATTACTGTTCATGTTCCAGGCCCTACCCATACCGTTTAAGTGAAGTGACCTATTCACACTCCAAAAAGCGATTGACATGTTAATTTGGCAAAAGAAACGACCCAGAATAGCTAGAAAACTCCTATATCGACCCAAGGACAGAGGGGGACTGGGGCTGCCAAACCTGTACCTAAACTACCTAGCAGCATAGACGGCGCAAACTCCCAACTTCCTCAGGCAGCACTCTGGATCCCAGGTAAGCCACCCTTCTGAACCCACAAGGTAGGAAACAGGAGTGTGGCTAGAAAAATTTATATTTTGACCAGCATGTTTGTGTATCTGTGTGTATGTGTCTGTATGTCTGATTGTGTGTGTCTGTCAGTGTGTCTGTGTGTGTATCTGTATGTTTGTCAGTGTGTCTATGTTTGTGTATCTGTCAGTGCGTGTGTATCTGTATGTCTTTTAGTGTGTCTTTGTGTGGATCTGTATGTCTATCAGTGTTGTAAGTGTGTGGATCTGTATGTCTGTCTGTGTGTATCTGTGTGTCTGTATGTCAGTGGGTCTGTATGTCAGTGTGTGTTTATCTGTATGTCTGTCAGTGTTTGTGAGTATCTGTATATGTGTGTGTATTTGTGTGTCTGTCTATGAGAGTGTGTATCAGTTTGTGTATATTTGTACAGTATATGTGTATCTTCATGTGTGTCCGTGTGTGTACCTTCGTGTATGTGTATCACAGTATGTGTATATGTGCATACATCTCAGCATTCAAACGCCAACACTACATACAAATACACCCCTACATGCAACCGTCAACACTACATACAAACACACTCCTGCATTTAAATGTCAACACTACATACAAACACACCTCTGTACTAGACACCAAAATTATATACAAACACACAGCTACATTCACAGAAACATACTCCATACAAAAACATGCTTACATTCAAACACACAAATACTGTTCAGTGCTAAATACAATCCTGTATGCATTGGAAATCGTAGAGTACCAGCTTTCAAAGCATTGTTGAAGTTGCACAACAGAGGGGGATCTATCTTTTAGCCACCCTGTGTACATACACAGACATACATGCACAGACAGTCATACAAAGACATACAGTCTGTATGTGTCTCTATGACTATCTGTGTATGCATGTCTCTGCAGGGCTTGTGCAAGGATTTTTGCCGCCCTAGGCAAAAGAAAAAAGTGTGTATGTGTGCAAAGGATGCATTGTTTTTATGTGTAAGGGTTGCATTGCGTGTGTGTGTGTGTGTGTAATGGATGCATTGTGTGTTTCTCTGAGTGTAAGGGAAGCATGTTGTGTTTCTGTGTGTGTAGGGATGCATTGTATGTGTGCGTAGTGTGAAAGCGCTCCTTGTCCTGCCCCCTGTCCTATAGAGCTCTCTCTTCTGTTCCTTAGAGCTCTTCTCTGACTCTTAGTTGTCTCTCTTCTCCTCCCCTGTCCCTTAGTGGTCTCTACTCTCCTCCCCTTAGTGGTCTCTCCTTTTCTCCCCGACTTTCCATTAGTGGTCTCTCGTCTCCCCCTTAGTAGTCTCTGCTCTCCTCTGCCCCCCCTTTCCATTAGTGGTCTCTCCTCTCCCCCCTTCCATTAGTGGTCTCTACACACACCCCCTTCCTCCCATACTGGTCTCTGCTCTGCCCCCACCCTCCCTTAGTGGTTTCTCCTCACCCCCCCCCCTTCTCTAGTGGTCTCTCCTCACCCCCTTCCCTTAGTGGTCTCTCCACCACCACCTCCCTCCCTTAGTGGTCTCTCACCTCCCATTCTCCTCAGCCCCCTCCCTCTGTGGACTATCCCCCACGTTCTCCTCACCTCCCCCTCCCTGTGTTCTCCACATCCCTGTGTTCTCCTCACCTGCCAGTCATGTTCTCCTCACCTCCCCATGTGTCCTTCTCACTCCCCCGTGTGTTCTCCTCACACCCCCACCCTGTGTGTTCTCCTCACCCCCCTTGTTTGTACTCCTCACCCCCCCTTGTTTGTTCTCCTCACCTTGTTTGTGTGAGGATATTTATGGGGTGATAAATATTAAAAATAATATTTTCATAAAAATTGTCAAAAAATAATTTAATAATTTTTATTATATCAAAATTTTATATTTTGGCACTGTTCCCCGATTAATAAAGCTGAGAAATACTCACGATTTTTAATTCTCTTAAATCCTAGAGGATGTTTTAGTAAATGATTTTTACTTCACACAATAATCACAAATTAATTATAAAAATATAATTTGTGACAATAATAATAAAAATAATATAATATGTAACATGCGTGATAATAATCAGTGAATATTTAGGTATTACATAATTATACAATATGGCAATGGTTTCACAATATAAACAGCTAAAAGCAACAGAGAAATCAACATAACACGGAGAAGACAGAACTTCACAGCAGTACACAGCAGTGCAGCGTAAATAAATCACACTGAATTAACTCTTCCACTGCTGGCTACAATCCTCATAGGCAAGATATCCTACTATATTGCAATTTTACAATTAAAGTAATGTTCATACCAGATCATTTGACCATTCCTCTGTCCATCAAATAAGAATAATTCTCCCAGATTTTACGTTTGCAGAATTTTAACTTTCCAAATTAAGATTCACTATCTTATATCAAAACAAGTCAATACCTCTGGATAAAAATGTGGTATGCTGGGAGGCGGGGCCTGAGAGCCAAGATGGCCGGACGTGCTCCATGAGGGCTCTCATGCCAACGAGCACAAAAATGTTTAACCTGAACAATCCAACCATGCTAGCAGCACAAAATGCCCAAAAACCAATACAGGGCCTCACAGGGAATAGAATATCTGTCCCGACGCCACCTGAACAGAGGCCCACCCCGAGCCCCCAGAGCAGCCTCCAGACAGTGTCAACCTCAGAGTTCAAGACGGTGGGGAACGGCGACGTGCCTTCCGGACTCTGGCACCCACCCGCACACATACCAGCGACAGACCAAGCCCGCATGATTCACATACCGCTCAGCAACACCGGAATCTTCCAGCCAAAAAAGCACAACCTTGCGCTCATACGCCCGAATAGACGGCCACGAGGCTTACCGGAAAGCAACACAGCTTCCAAGTGGCGAAGGACGCGGGCTGGGGGCCTCTCCGGGACACACAGGCGACGGACTCTTGCCACAGCACCAACTCCGCAAGTACCCAAGGCCCACCTGTCAAGCCTCCAGAAATGGACTAAGCTCCTGCAACACATGGTCCTACCGTACAGGTCATTACAAACGCTATGCCCTCTTGTATACTGCTGCCAAGACTAGCCACCGCATTGTACATAGTTTGAGCACTTTATTGCACACCTGCTCATTAGCCATGCTCCTCTTTTCGTTATGTTAGCATGCTACTGATACTTACATGTTGCACTAGTATATTAAGAATATTAGTATACTATATTGGTTAAACCATGAACCCCACTCATTAGGCACGCACCCAGACAACCAGCCTACAGTTACTAGCATGGTAAAACCTCTGTCTGCTTAACCTATGAGTATACTAATTCTAGGGCCTGTTAAAGCCTTAAGTATTAGCTTGCAAATGTAACTCATACTGATGAATATGTTAGACAGAGTTTGAGTAGTGAGGCACATCAAGTCAGTGAACTCTCTTATCGAAGTAACTACCTGTATGATCAACTAACATTAACCCGTGAAAGCTCACGCCTAATCTACTTTATCTTGCCTTACAAAGTATGTCTATAACCATTATGTCTCATTAAGAAAAAAAAGTGCTGTTTATCTATGCCACAAAGTTTGACATTGAAAAGCCTGTACTCGCTGTTGTGGTGCTACAGGTTCCTATGTTATGTAACCATATGCACATGAAAAATAAAGAATAATAAAAAAAAAAATTGGTAACATTTGGCAAATTTACCGTTAATAAATCGTTATCTTTATTCCACCTGCAGGAATGGGATTTTTATAACCATATATTCCGTAGCTAATTATGATTTCTAATACTTGAAATCTGACCAATATTTATCCAGATATATATTCCTGCTATTAGTAAAAATGTATTAATTAATTTAATTAAATAAAACCAGCATAATTACCAGTTATGTTGTAGATTTTCTATCAGATGTATAGATATTTTCCAGGAATTTTGAATGCAAGTATGATAAGAGGGTTGTATTAGTTGGAAAAAGTAATAGTAAGAATTAGGTGTGTCCAAGGGAGTGAGAGTTTCTTGAGTACAGTCCAAGAGTCAGAATGTGTAAGTCCCAGAGAGTATGAGAGTTTGAGAATCAGACTATTTTTTAAAGAGCCCGAATCTGTTTCAAAGAGTGTTCGAAGCTCCCTCTCTTCCCTTTGTCCTTACTTTTTAAAGGGGAAAACTCTCTGCACGTCACTAGTTGATAGGACCAAAAGGGAACTGTAGGCGTGTCTTCCCTACAGACTATCATCTAGATTTTGGTCAGTAGGTGGCGCAATTACATCACCAAAAATTCTTGTCAGGGGGTCCATTTGCCTTTGCCTTTTTGCATAATGGGTTAACTGTAATTGGTGATGCGTTTGATGTAATTTTTGGTTATCTTTATGGATAGCAGTCCATCAAAGACATGCCACTTCAAAGCATTGGTTAAAACTTATACCAGTCAGAGCGTCTGCAATTTGGTCTCAGTCTGGAGTTTGCCACGTGAGAGTCTAGCTTGAAGTGAGAATGAGGTGACATTTTTAATATCATGAACAACTTTCCATTCATAACCATAAGTATACATTATTTTCTGTTTGGGCTTTCCCTTTCATGACCATAACTCATGTCTGTTATTGGTTTGAATTAAAAGCAGAAGAGCTAAAATTCCTTTGTCTATTACAGTTCACTTATTCTTTTATAATGAATTTAAAATAATCTGTATATAAATCCCCAATATTTGGCACAGCTACATCAAAATTTTGCAATGTGGCAAGGCTTCTGTAAATCAGTTTGTGACTTGAAGACAGGGATTTTCCTTTCTTTACTATGTGTGAGATGTAGATTTTTTGTACTTTTATGTGAAATGTTGAATTGTAGTTGTAATTGGAGTTATACAAATTTCAGCACTAACTTCATTTATGAATGATAATATATTTTATATGAATACAAAAAAGAAAAGAAAAAAACTACCATAAAGTGTCTCAACATTTTGGTAAATATAGTCACAATGAAATGAGCATAAAAAATTACTTTTAATCGATATTGTAACGGACCATTTTGCCCACAAGAGGTTAAAAACCGTTTAGGCGATCCTCCCCTTTCAGAGATGCAGGCACAGCTACTGCAGAACACCAATCCGCGAACAGGAAACCATATGAATGCTGTAAACAGCCGAATAGGAAAAAACATCCGAATAGGTTTAGACTCCTAGCAGTCAAACTGGAAGAGCATACAGTAAATCCCCCCAAGAACAAGACAAAGCTGCGTGTTGAGGGTCAAGCAGTGAACAGACAGAACTGTGGGTCTATTGTTCTTATGTACACATTCTTACACATTAGTACCACCCACAGGGTTTTGGAACACAACCAATAAACACATACATTACACTCAGACACTCCCACACAAAATTCTCCCCTCTGCCTGTGATACAATTACCTTACACAATGGGTAATGTAATCATAACAAGCAGAGAAATAAATTTTTTCCACATTATTCATAACTTGAAAAGTATGCATCACATTCACATATATATATATACTTACATTTTCAGAATCAGCATACTCCAAATACAAACATATGTCAAAATCATACAAATTGGTCCAGTGGTTCAAAAGATAGATCGTAGTCCTTTGTGACCAAAGGAAGCATGGCTTTTCTGCCCAAAACCAGTTCCACAGTGTCTTCTATCCTGGAGATAATTGGGAAGTAATCCAATTATCTCCAAAGACAGAAGCAAAAATCCATTGAACACATGGCAGCAAAAGACAATAAAACACATAAAAACATATAACTGTGCAGATAGCTCAGATCTGAGCGCACATTATTAAGGAATGGCGCTCAGAGCACACACATACAGTTCAATTGCCATGGAGCCAAAGTCTTTCCCATAGTCTTTCATTATACGAATGGGCTCCATGGCATAGCTATCTGGGGTATCACCGCTCAAACAGGGCACGCACCGAATGACCCGGCTTTCGTGTCTTTGCAGGGGAAAATCAAGCCTTTTAACATGGGGCTATAATCCAAAGGCAACAGGCGAGCAACCATGCTTCTCCAATGCAATGTGGCAAGATTGGTCTCGTCACAGATATAATAAAATGTAAAATAGAAAAGATAAAAGCAAAACAAAAAGCACAAGGCTACAAAATAATATGTCCTATAAACTAGTTGGGGTATTAAACCTCCAATAGAACCAGTAGCAAGAGAAGTGTTGCTTCAAAGAAATACTTATTGGTGTAAAGTAAAACTACTTGCTATGAACAATGTAACTGAATTCTAAATAGAAAAGTGGGATACTAGTATCTTCTAAACTCTTCCTGCAGAACAGGGTAGGTTGAAAATAGATGAAATGCCTCTAGTGCACAAGGGGTTAAACAGCACAGTTGGTTGCAATGGTTAATAGAAAAGAGGCAGGGAATACCTGTAAAATAAAGAGGTATAGGAGACAGTTGCAAGCTAGGTTAGATATAATGGTCAGTAGAAATATAGAGACTATAGGTGATCCTGATGCTTGCTAGCAAGAGAGGTGTAAAGAGATACTTTAATAGTAAAAAGTTAAGCCACTTTCTATAAACAATGTCATTGAATTCAAGATGGGAGGGTGGGGTATTAGTATCCTATGAACTCCTCCTGCAAAACAGGGTCTGCTGTATATAGATAACGTACCTCTAATACACAAGAGGTTAAACAGTACACCAATATGGTTGCAATAGTTAATAAAGAAGAGGCAGAGAATACCTGTAAATAGGGAGGTATAGGAGGCAGTAGCAAGCTAGGATTAGATGCAATGATAAATAAATAGAGATGCAGAAAATATAGATAATCCTGATGCTTGTAAGATAGAAAATCTAAGTGCCTTTGAGGGCACCCCTTAATAAATGCCTATACTATATAGCACAACCCCCCAAAAAGGTGTAAATACAGAGAGATACTTAAATAGTAAAAAGTGAAGCCACTTGCTATAAACAATGTTCAAGATAGGAGGGTGGAGTATTAGTATCCTCTGAACTCCTCCTGCAGGACAGGGTCTGCTGTATATAGATGAAGTATCTCTAATACACAGGAGGTTAAACAGCACACCAATGTGGTTGCAATAGTTAATAGAAAAGAGGCAGAGAATACCTGTAAATAGGGAGGTATAGGAGGCAATAACAAGCTAGGATTAGATGCAATGATAAATAGAGATGTATAAAATATAGGTAATCCTGACGCTTGTAAGATAGAAAAACTAAGTGCCTTCGAGGGCACCCCTTAATAAATGCCTATACTATATAACTCAACCCCCCAAAAAGGAATAAAGAGACAGAGGATAGGACAAGTAAAAAGAATGCCTAGTTGTAAAAGCAAGATCGCTAGTCAGACCGCGGCTGAATAAGTGCAGCAGCAGAGGAATGTCAAGCTAGGCTTCCTGAGCCCCTGATGCGCACGTTTCGTCTGGGTTACTCATCAGAGGGGAACTGAAGACAAGTAAGTGTTGAGCTTTTAAATGTGAAAGTAACCAATAGGGTTAGGGGGGAGGGGCTGTAATTTCCACACTTCTAATTGTTAACCCTATCAGTGCTGAATTAGAACAATGTGACGATAAATATGTATAAGGATAAAGTGGAAGCTAATACAAAAGTTAGTATGGGAAAGGAGATACATTTTAATATAGGACAAAACGAATGGAGGATAGAATAAAAATACTACATAATTAATATGACCATGTATAGAGAAAAAGAAACCTTTATAAGTGTCTGTATCTATTAATAGTGCTCAGTGGTGGCTATAGATGGCTAAAGTAGTAATAGGGTAGGAAACTAAATAAAGGCAGCTTAATGGTGCTACTAATTAGCCATTTAGAATATGTAGTCACCTGGAATAGAGGCACTATCATACTAGATATCACACTAAGAACGAGTAGTGGGTAATGTAAAAGATCTAAGTCCATTAATATGCTAAAAGATTGGTGTCATTTTTACCAGAATACAAATAGATACAAAATTGATAAATAACAAACGGGGGATAAAGAATAAAGAATGATAATACATAATTGGCCATGTCTTGATCAATTATTGATACAGTAATCAGTAGTGACTACAAGTGGAGACATAAAAATGAAGACCAATTAGTGATGCTAATAGCAAACTATTTAGGATACATAGCCACCAAAATTACTGGCTAAGTTGGAAGAAATAAGATCCTATGTTACTTATGAATGAAGGGAGTAAAATTAAATTCATTAAGACCATGAGGAGCGAGTGTTTTGAATTGATGTATCCATCTAGATTCTTTCTTGAGTAGTGTGAGGTTAAAATTCCCTTTTCTTGTGTTTAAATGAATATGTTCCAGGATTTGGAAATTCAGATTGGTCGGATCCATATTGTGGAAGTTTCTAATGTGGTTGGCAACTTGTGTGGAAATGTTAAGATTTGTTACGGAATTGACATGTTGTAGCACACGTCTACAGAATTCCTGATATGTTTTACCAACATATTGTAATTTACAGCTACAAGTAATGACATAAATGACCCTAGTTGTGCTGCAATTCATGAATTCTTTGATTGTATGTACTATTTTAGTATTAGTGCATACTACTGTTTTTGATGGCAGAATATATTTGCAAGCTTTACAGTGGCCACATTTGAACATTCCCTTGGAAGTCTG